CGAGCTCGGCGTTGGGAAATTTAATTCCAAGCTATTTAAAAGAGCCTGTTACCTTATGATTGCAGTTAAATTAAGTTAAGTATAAGAAGAGCGATTACTCTGGGTTATAGAACGTATATCTACTTATGCTTCGACTTAAGCTTCTCAACACTGAGAGCGTGAGTTCGAATCGGTTTGTGCACCAATGGGCAATTGGAATTTTCTTTCTATATGCGCAATTAGCACTTGCTCCTACGGTGAAAGCAAACATCATGAGGAATCCGGCATGTATGCCAAAAATCACAACATGTGTCAGGCACAGATGGCTGTTCACCTAATTGTCAAATTATATTAGGTCCTTACATATGAAATTGGCGTTTTGTATGGGAGGAACAAAAAGTCGAATATTTTTAAATATAATATATTTAATTAATCAAAGTATGAACCATTGTTTTCTATGCACTTTTGCCATCTCATAGGTAGTTCATTGATCCCTTTACTAAAAAAACCAGTCGGACGGGAATCAATAAAATCTGTGAAGGCGATTTTCACTGCCCCAGACTGCATCAGAGTTAAATTATTTCCCTTGCAAGTAGTTGTCCAAATTTCGAAAAAAATGGTAATCTGTTGGAGCAAGGTCCGGGGAGTACGGAGGATGTCTTAGACATTCCAATTGAAGCTCTTCTAATTTGGTAGCCGTCTGTTGTGCAGTGTGTGGTCTAGCGTTGTCGTGAAGTAGCAGTGGCGTGGAGCGATTGACCAGCCTAGGTTGTTTAGCCGCTAGCTTTTCCATCATGGTTTGCAATTGCCGACAATAGACATCAGCCGTAATAGTCTGGCCAGATTTGAGAAAACTGCAATGAACAATACCGGCACTAGTCCACCAAACGCTTACAAGTAACTTTTTTGGGGTTAATTTTCGCTTGGGGCAGGATTTGGCTGGCTGGCCAGGATCCAACCATTGCGCTGAGCGATGAATGATTCGGTTTAAAATACCTTCATTATTGTGCCGGTTCAGTAATGTAACGCAGCAGTCGACGCGCGTTTGCCGGTTTGCTTCAGTCAATTCGTGAGGTACCCATCTTTCAAGCATTTTAATCTTCCCAATTTGCTTCAAGTGAAGTAAAACAGTTTTAACACTAACACCGCAGCCTGCAGCTAACTCGGACGTGGTTTGCGATGGCGACGCTTCCACAATAGCCTTCAATACTTCATTATCAACTTGGGTCTGAGGCCGTCCACGGGGCTTGTTCTGCAGGTCGAAATTTCCAGAACGAAAACGTTGGAACCAAAAACGAACTGTGTTTTCTTTTGCAACATGACCGCCATACACATCATTCACCCTTCGAGTCGTTTCCGCAGCACTAGTGCCACGGCGGAACTTCCATTTTGTAAAATGAGTGACGCAAACAGAAAAAAATAGAAGAAAAAAACAAATGAATGACGGTCATCGAAGCACAAATACATGAGTAAATAGCTGTACAAATTTGAATTTGGAATTTCTTACCAAAGAGGAGAACATCGTAATTAATGTGGCCAGTACGAAAAAATTCATATGTAAGGACCTAATAATAGTGATAAACGAAACCCATACAGTCTTAAAGACGTAAGGTTGTAACGCCACTGGATTATTGTTTTTTTTATTTTTTTATTGATAAAGCTTGCCAACGCACGGCACACTGATACATTGGTAAAAACAAACACAAAATACTATTTTTAATGTGACAAGCACTTAAAGGCAAACATGACATACTTTTAGAGATCATACAAATATCAATCAAAACAATTATTAAACAAAACAAACATTACAAAAAAAACCAATTACTAATCAAAAAAATTAAAATTACAAAAACTAAACAAAAATCGAGTTTAAAATGTGAGGGGAGCAACTATGGATATCCGGACCTAGCTTTTTTATCAGAATGCTTAATCTAGACATCCGTGAGCTTTGACCAAAACGAGTTCTACGGAAAGGAGGGACAAATGGAATAATGGGATGCCTGGGGTATCCATTGTTATTAGCTATATACATATATGATGGATGGTAATAAAAATACTGCTAAATATATATATTATAGCGTAGCGTAGTGTAGCGTAGCGTAGCGTGCCTATAAAACCAGAGCTGGCACAGGACCGACAACTTTACGTACTTAAGACACGGGACTAAGTAAAGTACAATAAAGCTTAGTGGCAAAAAGCAACTTCATAGTTGAAGTTGTAAATTTTTTCCAGTGGCATGACAACTCTTTTAAACGGGGCTTTTGCACTGGACTGTCAGTGCTATTAAAAAAATTCAAACGTCACAGATCTTAATACGAAGTCTTACTAGTGTACATTAAAACTTTTTATGTATATCATATTTTTTTTAATTTTTTAGTATACGGACCTCTCGAACACGGACTTTTTCTTATAGAGTTACTAGCGGACCCGATAGACGTTGTCCTGTCTTAACTATTGATATTGATTTCGAATTGGTATAATTAACTAAAAAAATATTTTACTAACAAATTGTTTATGATAAAGCTTTATGATATACAACATTCTTTTTTTGTTTTTCAGGCGCGTATATAAATAGTTTTGTTGTTATTCCGACACAGGAACAGATGTATTTATCAATATAATTATTTTATCAATATAACAACTCCGATCGAAGCATTTGTTTTAAACGATATTCATTTTATTACATCCTCTGTCAATGTTATGTCAAACGCCATAATGTTACATCAAAAAAGTTTTAATGAATTTAAGAAAGGAATTTAATGGTGGTTAAGTAGTCTTGAATTTTCTAATTTTCCGCGCAATTTACTTGCTCATTTTATTTTTTCATAAGAACCTTCTCCTGACAATATCAAACACACCAAAAAAAGAATTAGCGAAATCGGTCCAGCCGTTCACTCGTGATGCCGTGACCAAGGAAAATAGGGATTCATTTTTATATACATATATATATAGATTAATAATAAATTTAAATATCTTCTGTCTTGTTAAATTAGGTTTTAATTCGCGCATATTATTCTTAATGATGTCAGAAGTGTCGTCCGGTTCTCAATGCCTTTCATAAAGATATCGTAAAATCTATGTATTTTCCTAAGTAACCATGTTTATACAGCTACTATGGGTCCACTACGAGATACTCCGCTGTCGCATTTATGGCGAACCACTTTATGGCCCATAAAATGGTCTACTGGTGTTCATTTGTCGATTCTACGCATTTTATGTATTGCCAGCACCTGTTCTATAAAATATATTTTATTCTTACAACTCGTATAAACTTTATTGCTTTTTTGAGTTTTTATTGGAGACTACCTAGTTATATCAAATTATCTGTGACATGAATCTTTAATTTTTCGTTTTCCAGCGATTTAATATGCAAATTGTACAAAAGGAGTATGATTTTTAAGAGCGTTTCGACAACATAACCATAAATGTATAAATTAACAATAATATTCCAGTGAGGAAAATTTTGTTTGTTCCTCTAAGTCAATAATAATCTGAGAAACTATACAACGATTTAAAAACTTTCCTATCAGTTTTCTTGTTTAAAAAAGGGGTCCATTATATAACAAGCTCAGTCGCTTTCATCGACAACACTGTACAATCCCTTTGAACCTACAATGTATAAATTAACAATAATATTCCATGTATGAGGTTTAGAAAATGTATTTTAATGTTATTATCTATTAGGGATTATATTTTCATTCATTCACTGACTCACTCACTCACTTACACATTTGCACCCACACACTCTCTCATGCACTCAGGCGTGTTGATAACAGTTGAAAAGTAATATAAAATATAACATGTAATTAAATGATATATAATGAATTTTTATACTTAAGTTTGTTATAGAAGAGCTGGGAACCCTGACACAGATATTTCTTACTTAAAAGGGTTCCCAAATCTTTCACATTGTAATGCATATGTACCTAAAATGAATAAACAGATTTTTATTATATTATTATTATTATAGCTTACATAACATCACATTTTTAATCATACTAAAAACTAATTTTACTATAGTTTCAAAATTAAACAAAATCTTCAAATAATAATCTATGCTTTTAATTTTAAACATGGCAGGTTTATACACTTACTTCTAATCAATTAATCAAGAATCAATTGGCAATACTACTCAAACTCAAATTACCTTTATTCATATAGGTAAACAAGTACACTTATGAACGTCAGAAAAGAGGTTAAATGAATAGTAAATTTAAATTTACTACCAGTTCGCAAGTCAAGGGCGTAGAGCGGGCAAGAACTGGCAAGAAACTTTCCGCCACTCTTTTTAATCGCTATGTTTTGAGTGTTACAAATTAGGATCATTCAAATATTCGTCAAATTTATAAAAAAACTTCATTGATTAATGTACGTTTAAGGAGGGCTTTGAATTTATTTAGTGACAATTCTCTAATTTCGCTTGGGAATTTGTTGTAAAAACGAATACAAATTCCATATGGTTGAGCTTCTGGAGCCTGGTTGTTGTTACACTCAAATTAGTTATGTTTTGAGTATTATACCGGTGAGTTACCATTTGTTTTAAAATCGTTTATATTTTTTTGTACATACAACAAGGCTTCAAGAATATATTGACCAGATAGCGTCATAATATTTAATGCCATAAACTTATTCCGTGCCGACTCCCTTGGGGATACACAACAAATACCCCGAACAGCCCGCTTCTGCAGCACAAATATGGATTGAACTTCTGCAGCAGCACCCCACAGTAGAACGAACTACGATAAATAGTAGGAGGAAATAATTTCTTAAATTTTAATGTGTAGGTCACATAAAGCAAATTATATAAATTATGTTCCATTAAGGCTACGTTCATAACACTTGTTTTAATAATATATGTGCCCTTAGACCTTTCAAGGTGAAGAACGCATTGAAAATTTCATGAAAAACGCTTACATGGCTACAATCATCTTGTCAAACCTTGAATTATAACGGTAGGCGTCATTTAGGCACGCCATTCCACATGTCGAATTAGACCCGAAAGGTCCTGAAATTATTATAAAATGTCCCTTTATACCAGTAATATCTTATACCCACAAATACCAAATGGGTGGGCGCATCAAATAGAAAATAAACGGAAAAACAAAGTAATTTTCTTGGACGTCACACCAGCACGTAGTCCATATGTAAGACCCACCTCGAAGAACTCCGTTATACCTATAAAAGATAACTTAATTATACCAGAGATATACAAAGATATCGTTTACGAAAATATTAAGCCCGTTTTTACTTTATTGCGAATGATGGGCGTGCTACCAATCACTCGGTCCTCTACGCACAAAAACCAGTTTAATATAGCGTCCCCTTCAATGCTATACTCTGTGATTCTGTATCTATGTTTGATTGGCTATGTTCTCTACCTGTCTCTACATAAAGTGCAAATATTGAGGACGGCTGAGGGAAAATTCGAGGAGGCGGTGATTGAGTATCTTTTCACTGTATATCTATTTCCAATGTTGGCGATACCGATTATGTGGTATGAGACCGGGAAAATTGCCGAACTACTCAACGGATGGCTTGCTTTTGAGGTATTTTGTAAATTAAGTTGCTTTTTGCCTTAACACAGATTTAACGAAAATATATTTTACAGGATTGTATCATTCGTTATTTTAGATTTAATAGTATTCAACTTTGGCGAATAGACTTAACGACAGGAAACTTTTGTAATTTTAACTGCTCGAACGGTAATAATTAAAACTACATACAACATAAAAAGAATTTTGTATGTTTTAGTAAAAACAAATTACTTCTTGTTGAAAAAGTACAAATTTTCTTAAATTTAATGCAACAAGGAAGGCAAATCCTTTAATTAAACCAAAGAAAGTTCGAGTTGATACAATCCACTTCTGCGAATCTTACCAAATTAAATTCAGACAATAATTTAAATAGCTAATTATTTTGGATTTATATTTCAAGAAAACAGTACGTTTTTAGAACTTCTAAATCAGTTACAATTTAGTCTTTAGCGTTGTAGTAATAAATCAATTTGTTTCAATAAGAAAAGTTAATAATTGAAATAAAAAATAATTTCCCTATATTTTATAAAAAAAAAATACATTATACTTACACACTAACAGAAAATTTCGTAAATTTCACAATTACAAGGCCTTTTTTTTCCTGGTAGAGCCCATCAACCTCAAGTGATATAGGGTCATCCATTTTTAAGTTTTATTAACAAAATGTAAATATTTTTAGTATGTTATAAATGGCTTTTTTAATTATGTTAGTCTATTGGTGAAGCGAATATCAAGACTGAGATCTGCTTTTCGAAGCTCGCTTTATGTGTAATTATCACATACGGTAAAGGAATACATCGCGAGGAAACTGTAATATATTTCTAGAAATTTATGACATGGTAAATGCATACATCCCAACATAGGGATCCTAAGGAAGTCAGTAAATATTGTTTTTGTTGTTTAAAATCTTGAAGAATGCTATGTTGTATTGATACGCAAACCTTAATACGCCGGTTAGAGCATCGTTTAAAGCCTTTATAAATTTCAGTTGGCGTACAAAACGCTGTCCGGCCGAATTCTGCCAATTAAACTTTACAAAAAAGCTCTAGCCATTGCAGTTATAATACCAATACTTTCCACAACATCTGTAATTATCACTCACGTAACAATGGTACATTTTAAAATGATACAGATGCTACCGTATATATTTTTGGAAATTCTGACATATATTTTGGGCGGTTATTGGTATCTACTTTGCGAGTCGTTGAGTGTATGTGCTAATATTTTGGCCGAGGATTTTCAGCAGGTATAATCATGTACTCAATCTATCTTCTATTAGAAATAAACAGTTAGTTAAGGTATTAAGTAAATATTAAAGTTCATCATTAATTACAACTAAGTTAAATATAAGTATTTCGTTTCTTTATAATTCGTTAATTCAGTCGTTAGCTACTCGGGTCATTAATTTCGTAGCTGAATTGGACTGTACTTTGGTATAGGTTATTATTAACACACCATTGAAGGTAATTAAGTAGGCAACGCTGAGTACGGTTAATTAGTTGTTATATTATATTAATTTAAGATTTTTTTGCATTGTAAGGCCCCATAAAGCCAATTTGACATGTCTGTTGATGATTTATTTTGGTATAAAAAAATAGGCAATTAGCCTTCTTTTGCTGTAAACCCGAAAAAGTTGTTATTTTACTGAAGATAGAGACCCAAGACCTCCGTGGTAAACGCAATTCTTTACATCATGTGGATTAAGGTCCAATTATAGTGTTGAAGTTTGGAATGACAAAATAAGTATCGGTAATAGTATTTTTTGGTTTCAGTGTAGTAAATAGTCATTCCAATACAAAATATTTGTAAGACAATTCTAAAGGTGTTTATGATCTGAGTAAATTAACTTTTACATTCCCACGCTGCAATAAATTTGCAGTAAAGAATAGAAAGCTGAAACTGAAAGAACTTTATTGCTCTCATTTAAAATTTTAAACCGCTTTGGGTAGTCTGAGAATCGTGAAACCTGAAAACATTTAAGGAATTTTAAAAGCTTACAGGCCCGTAGTCTGGTCGAATTGGGACGCGTTTAGTAAGGAAAAGTATTAGAATTTATAAAAAAACTGTTTAAAACGATTTTTTTTTACTATTATCCTACCTGAGCTAAAAGCGAAACATAACACGAAAAAACTGCTATAAAACAGTTTTACTTATGCACTGTTTATAAGTTTACGATTTTATTGTTATCTAACTCCCCTAACTTATTCATATATTTACAAAAAACACGTTATGTATAAACTTTGTATTCCTTTAAGGCCTCATGAACTATGATGACTTTATTTACCAAAGTTCAGTTTGTGTAAAGACTTAAGAGTTAAAGTTACTTTTGCATTTATAAACGAAGTAATTAATTTCGTTTTAGGCCCTACGTCACATCGGCCCCGCCGGCAAAGTAGCGGAGTACCGCGCCCTCTGGCTTCGGTTAAGCAAACTGGCCAGGGACACCGGCATCGCAAACTGTTATACTTTTACCTTTGTCAACCTTTACCTTTTTCTAATTATAACTCTGTCTATTTACGGACTTTTGAGTCAAATTTCAGAGGGTTTTGGAACTAAGGATATAGGATTGGCTCTCACGGCTTTCTGCAGTATTTTTTCTTATTTTTTCATATGCGATGAAGCGCACTATGCGTCACAGAATGTAAGTTCCTAGATTGTCCTGCCAAATCGAATATAAAAATTTAAAAATAAGCTCTCTTAATTTGTCATTAATACAAATATAAAACTTTTGTATGGCAAGCTAATCATTATGACATACTGTTTTAAGTTTTGTAATTTGGACATAGGTACTCGAGTGCTACCAGGACTTGCAACGCAATTGTAATATACATATTTGTCGTTTCCCAGGTGCGCACAAATTTTCAAAAGAAACTATTAATGGTTGAATTATCTTGGATGAATACTGACGCCCAGACTGAAGTGAATATGTTCCTCAGAGCTACAGAAATGAACCCGTCACAGATCAGCCTCGGAGGATTCTTTGATGTCAATAGGAATTTATTTAAATCGGTAATATTTATTATTTAATTGCCACGATCTCGAATGCAACAACGGTATTAGTTATTGGCTACATTCACAAGAGTAACTCTACAAATTAATAAAATACTATTATGAATAGCGAGATAAAATACGTCGTCTGCGATTTATAGGTAAGAAATGACTGCATTGGTGCTACAATCATAGGCCGTAGTCTCAAATTTCTGTATCTGTTTGCTTGATCATTTTGTTTTATTGTGCGTATAATTGTGTGTATAATTGTGCATATAGATAGAATAATTATATATATTATTTATACTGCCTAAATGTATTTCACGTTAGTTTCTATAGTTAATAAAGTTCATAGTAAACTCATTTATTTCTCAGCTCCTGGCAACAATGGTGACATATTTAGTGGTTCTTCTGCAGTTCCAAATCAGTATTCCAGACGAAAGTATGCAAACAGAAAATGACGATACTGGAAGCGGCAATAATACTATCAATGAGGACACAACATTTACGACTACTAAAACTACTGTAGCCACTACAATTCTTACATTAGCTAAGGCAATAAAGAAAAAATAAAAAGTTAGTTTTATCTGTAAATATTATTCTTTTATTAAATATTTACCTATTGATAATAGAATATATATATAATTTAAATATAATAGAAAATATATCATTGAAATTATATGAAAGTATTATGCAGATACAGTTTTATTGCGATTATTCAACTTGCGGCCAGCCTAAAGCTTTTTCATCACACGTCCTTGTTTTACCTACATTATTTTTTTTATACTAAGTGAATCACACTATCTCGTTCAACATAACGAAAAAGCGCGGCAATTAAAAAAAAGCATGGTATCCCTAAAAGTTTGATATATTTTTTACATTGATAGTAACTGTATTTCTATCAAATTAAATACTATACGTATTTAGTCTTTTACTATTGACACTTAAAATGACTAGCATTGCATGGAAAACTAAAACTATTTTTATTATAAAACACAACTTTATTCAGAAAAATAAAATCCTGCGAAAGATCTACTATCAAATAAAATAAAGTTTAGGCTATTATACCTGTTAACTATTCGGAAAAAATATAAAATAGAAATAAAAATGAGTAATTGCATGAAGAATTATCAAGACAATAAATCATACTAACCTAAGAAAGTCAATGACATTCTGTGACCTGTGTTGCCATCCGAAAGTTTTCAAATAATTCAATTATCTTCTTTCATTGGCTAGCCCAAACAATAATATTGAAATAAAATACTATTTCAATAATATTTTTGTGCACTATATTCGGTATTGTTCAATATTATTGCGAATTTCCGGAAATTCTGAAATATGCCGTCAATATTCAGGGGAGGCAGGGTTATTGTCAATATTATTTTGTGTGCGGGCCTTACTTCAATATTCTAGTTTAAATAATTTATCTATGAGTGCACGTCAAATTAGTTGTTTTCTATGTCTCAAATATTATTGTTTGTTTTGATTTTTGTAAAATGAAGAGAAGATCTGATCGAAAATTATGACGGAGACATGTGGAAAATGTTCCCCAAATATAAAGAGACTTTAAAGGAATTCATTAGATTGTGGAAACTTATCCGGAACTATGGAATATTATATCATCAAAAAATATCAAAAGTGAAAAAGAAATTATCATAATTTACTTTATATATAAAAAAATTTATCCATAGTTTTTTTAGTTCTCGGTTTCTTATTTAACAGGCTTATTGCCATACACAATATGACACATTTTTTTATTATCCATACTTCCGTAGATCAAGGATCAGTTCGTGATGAGCCTTTTAAAATTAGTAAATATTAAAACGAGGATATATTTTAAAATACAAAGTTGAATATATGTGTGTGCGGCTAGCCAGTGCCAGACTCTAGAGAGTAGTATATATACATACCGTATAACCTCATACACCTATTTCAGAATAATTCACAATAATTATTGAAAAGAACTCAATGTGGCTAAGTCACGGCTAAGAGGCTCATGAATCTTTGATATGCATCATTTAGATGTAATTTTGGTAATAATTGAACCTTTACGATTTGTGCTCGTTATATCTTAATTCTTAATCTGTAATGTTTCAATATTGGTAGTCTGTTCTTATGTTGTCATAACTAGGTACTGAAGTTCTCGGTGTTTCGAATTATTAAATAAAACAAAAGCGGTGTGTGTTACCTATTTCTAGAACAAATTCGTGTGATTAAATTAAATGAAATAAAATAAACTATATTCAAAACATGGTTGATTACAGTAAATGGAAGGATATTGAGGTTAGTATAGTTAAATGTAACTCTAATTAATTATGATCAAAACAAATGTGACTAGAAAATTTTACAATGTTGTCAACTGCTTTCTACTCTAGATTTCTGATGATGAAGATGAAACGCATCCAAACATCGATACACCGTCATTATTCCGATGGCGTCACCAAGCCAGAGTCGAGAGAATGGAAGAGCGGAAGCGCGAAAAACAAGAACATGAACAACGTAAAGCAGAGAACTTAAGAAAAGTTAGTGAGACAAAGAAAAAGATAGCTGAGGCTGCACCTAACAGCAGTGATTTAGAATCCTTGAAAAAGGCCCTTGCCGAGTTTGAAAAAGAAGAAAAAGCCATCCTAAAAAAGGAAGATGAACTAAAAAAGAAAGAGAAAACAACTCCATGGAATGTGGATACCATAAGTGAACCAGGATTTACTAAAACAGTCATTAATACTAAAGCAACACGATCCAAGGAAGAAAACTTGACAGAAGAAGAAAAAGAAGCTAGAATGAAAAAGTTCATTGATGAAAATGAAAAACTTTTGAAGAAGTTTGGTATGTTGAGAAAGTATGATGATTCAAAACAATTTCTGCAACAGCATAGTCAGTTAGTTTGTGAGGAAACAGCAAACTATCTTGTCATATGGTGTATCAATTTAGAAATGGAAGAGGTTAGTTAATTTTAAGTCTTGCTTAGAGCTATTACTTAGCATGTATGTTGAAAAACATATTGGATTTCAAAATGGGCAACAGGTCAAACTAAGTCTTAACTTTAATCACAATGTAACAGTGAATTAGTATATAATATAACAACCCAAAGACTAAACAGTTTGTATCCTCATCTCCTGTAATAATGTTAACAGAGGTTACACATAGCTTAAGTTATAATATTGTTGAACCCTGTTATTTTTTTTAGAAACATGACCTAATGGCACATGTAGCACATCAGACCATATGCATGCAATACATCCTGGAGCTCTCTAAGCAGTTGGATGTTGACCCTCGGGGCTGCGTGGGATCCTTCTTTACAAGGTATTTTTTTATTTCTAAATGTTAGGTTCAAAGTTTATTAAAATCCATGTGCTGTAAGAGTGACTAAATACAGACATCTGAAGTGTTCTTCAAAAATACCTAGGTTGTTCAATTATAGTGTACATATTCTTTTTTCAGAATCCAAGTAGCTGAAAAAACTTATAAAGATACATTTGATGATGAGTGTGAACAGTTTAAAGCAAGAATCAAGAAACGTGCTGCTGAAAAGATCCAGGAGGCAATTCGTGAGCAAGAGGAAGAAGAAAGAAAGGCTCGACTGGGCCCAGGTGGGCTTGATCCAGTTGAAGTTTTTGAGGAGTTACCTGATGTGAGTATAATATAGTTGCATCATATTCATATTATTAAGATGTAGTCGCTTTTTAATGCCATATATTATGAACAAATATTATTATTAGCCCAATGGCTAAAGCATGCAATTCTCAATAGAACATTTTACATACATATAAAATCTTATCCCATAAGTCTGGTTTAAATTTACTTGATTTTTCCTTTCAATTTGAATTTTGGTTCTTTTAAATTGTAAATTTTGGCTAAGTGCATTAATTAAATTAAATGCATATTTGAGTAGTCTGTGTTACAAGAATATAATATAAATGTTCCAACTTATCTGTAAAATTTTTCCTTACAGGAATTAAAAAAATGTTTTGATTCACAAGATATACCCATGCTTCAAGCAACCATAGCTAAGATGCCAGAGCAAGAAGCTGTATATTATATGAAGAGATGTGTAGATGCAGGTCTCTGGGTGCCCGGGAAGAATGATGAAGAACCAACTATGAAAGACAATGAGGCTGAAAAGACAGATAAAAATGAAAAAGAACCAATATACTCCACAACAGATGATGTAGATTAAGCTCTTCTGATCACTTTTGCTTAAGTGTAACATTTTTTTAACATTATAACTGCTTAAATCTAATAGTTAGACGATTGGAACGTGAAATCAGAATAATTTTTTTTGTAAACTAGTAATTACTTTTGGTTGCACATCTTTGACTGTACTACTACAGCTGCACATTTTAGATCTCAAACCAAATTTTAATATTTAAGCACCAATAGTATCTCAACCTGTACCACATAAGTTAGAAAGTTGAATTTAATGGAACCCGATGATAAGGTTGACATTGTACTGAGCAAAATAATGCAATTACAGACCTACCTACCAGATATTTAATTTTGATACACTTCAATTTTCAAAACTTGCACTTTGTTTTAAATATTTATATATACATGTAACATTGCCTGTAACATATCGGTTTTGCCATTTTAGGTCTTAGTAAAATTTAAAACAAATGTTTTTTTAAATGTGTAGGACTTTTTGTAGGATTTTTTTGAAAGGGTCACATATATTATTAAATGTTCTTGTTAGTCAACTTCACCAGTACTTCCAATAAATAGACTGATGTCTCGATAAAAACACCAACATTAAGCAATGTTAAGCAATACAAATTAGCCTTGAATAAAATGCTTGTATTAAAATTTAAAAAAAAAACTATGTAAATTCTTATTGTGTAGCATAGTCAAGTTCATTTTTTAATAATATTATTATAAATAAAGTAATATTTTCTTTCAATTTAACCCAATTTAAATAGAACTGTTGTAACTTATGAAAATATTGAATAAACTCAAGATTTACTTACAATGTGTTTTTATTTAAAGGACTTGTATTATAAGTATTTTTTATCAAACTTTTTAAAGAGAAAAACTTATAGATTTTAAATGTTAAACTGGATTTTTTTAATTTTTCAAAATTTTTTCATTTAAATAAATAATTACGTGTTTTATTTATTTAATTAATAAAAGTAATGAATCATTAATTTCGAATTATATCACGAGTGAAACAACAAAAGAATATATTATATCGAACTCTAAACTCGTGTATATCTGTAAACTTACACCATAACATCAGTGAAAGCTCTGATGTAAAATTCAAAGATATTTCTGACTATTCAATTTCAAGTTCGTTAAACAGCGGACGGGCGCGGCGACGCGGCGTGGATGTCACACTGCGGACGTATTGATCGTGCAAGCGTCGCGTCGGACGACCCGCCGCACTCGGCGTGATTTCTCGAGCATTTTGAAACAAGTTCATTGAGATTTCTTCATATTAATTCCCAAATTGCTGATTTCAAGCTCGCAATTTTGTATTGGGAATGGCCCAAATCATACAAAAACTGTGCTCGAACACTTTCGATTAGCTTTTCAACTCTCTCCATGTCCAGTTTTGTGGTCGAATACAAAGCTGCCGTCACGCCATCTGTTTGACTACTACAACGAATACCCATATAACACAGGACGTAGCGTCGCACTCACGCCCCGTCCAGCCGTACTTTTCTTGTACTACCGTCGCGATGGTGACGCGACGCGACCGTTGCCGTCGCGCCCGGTTTGACCAAACCCTTAAACGCATTTAAAACTCACATTTTGTGATGATTAATCATTTGTGATACAAAATGGATTAAAAAATAAAGTTTGTGTTGAAAATGAAACGTCATAATAACTTGTACTTTTTATATAACAAAACTACGTAGTAAGTGCGTGGAGCGGGACGCTACGTGAGCGCGTGCGGCGGCAGCTGCGGCCGACCTTCCAACTTGCTGTAATCCAGATGAAATTCTTTCGCCACCTGAGAATAATACGTTATTAAATATGTATAGTTTCTTTTTAAGTACACATAAAACTTTACAACTTATTTGCACTTATCAAAAATACAAGAAACAGAAGACGCTGAGTGCAAGAAAATTATTGTAAGGACTTTTCACAGGAAACCAGTAAGATTTTAGAAAACAAAACAATATACAAACTACAAAGCAATTTTAATATGAAATAAAGAAACAAACTAAACGTGAATTTCGTGTAAATATAATGTAGATTATACATAAATACAATATACATACATAATACTAAAACATTTCCAACTATGAGCCTGTGGCCGGCCGCCTGAATAGTAGATTTTTCAAAAGGAAACAGTTTTGAAGAACTTGGGTGTACTAATAATTTACCTTGCGCCAATTATGCGCGTCAAAGAAGTAGTAGGTGCCGCGCTCGTAGGTGGACGTCTTCTCGACCATGGGCATACCTGGCGCCTGAGAGATCCACACTTTTTCCTCCATGTGATACCGCCACTCGCGGTTATATCTGGAAAGGACATTGATCTAATTATGAAATGTATGCCTAGTGTCTTAAAGTAGTTACAATCTGAGGAATTGAATTTTTTTGTGGATAATCTACTTATCGTGGAAGGTTGTTTTTTATCGCGATACGACCGAAATAATTCGGGTAAAAACGCTACTTAGCTAGTAGTTATATCTGGCTCGAAGGACCATGTAGAAAATACCTTGCTTCTTCCTGAGTTATGGGTTATGAGCGCAATTGACATTTGCTATGTCCATTGCGCACAACACCAGGTTTTTAAATCACACTCTGAATCACTTAGCTAAAATTGCTTAAAATAGTACAGTATCTATACATTGTAAAAGGTATGCGTCACATGTGTGCATATATGCTTTAAAAAAATGATTAACATATCCCCACAATATTCTTATCATATTATACCTAAGCAAGGTTATTAGTAAATTTGAATTGTGCAATTTAAAAAAAAAAGACTTACAACTCCGCAGCGGCAGCAATTTGCAGTACATCACCGACGAAACAGTAAAATAGATAGAAAAGTAAGTCCTCCTTATATCGATTGAGTCTTAGAGGCGCTAGTTTTTCTCTAATTGAGCCGTTTATCAAGTACTCGGGCGGGACGTGGTAGTCCATGTCTTGGGGTCTGGAGAACAATTAATATGGTTTTGATGGGCATACATTTTTATAAGATACAAAAACCTTTTTTTATACAACAAGAGGCTCACTGAGGTGAAGTGATACCGCTGCCCATAGACACTCACACCCCCAGAAAACTCGCTAGTGCGTTGGCGGCTTTTTAAAAATCGATATGCTTTTTTCTTAAGTCGAATCGGTTCGGAAAAACATCAATGGGCAGCTGGTTCCTCGCTCCGTGATAAACGCTCAGTTGTGGAACGAACGAGGAACTATAACGATTTTACGGTTTAAGAAAATTGTATTAAAAATAATTCACATACATAGAAGAGATAAATAATCTACATAATAACTTAAAATAGCTTAAATGATATATTGCTAGTGCGAAAAACTACAACAGTAAGAACTCAAGACTAATCAGGTTAAATATTAATGTTACTTAAATTTTAAAACTATTTATAAATTAGATTATTTATTTTAATGCAACATTAAGAGTTTTGATTAACTATGCTTGGATTTGGTAAAAAGCATCACAAACTTAATATAATAATTCTCATCTATATATTATTAAATTAAATAATCTCTATACAATTATTTAATTATAATATGTCCTTTGTGCCTTTAAACATAGAGTAGTGCTGCGTAAAGGTATCTTAAAAATTCTATAGAACTCCTGCGTAGCCACCAGTATGCTTTAAACTCATATTGTGTGTAGTGTGGTTTATATTAGGTCTTTATCTACGAAGGATTTTTTGGAAATTTATTGGATTTTTGTATGAACATTTTAAAATATAAAAATTACTAAATTTAATCGAAGTACTGTTACTGTAAGCAAAACATTTAAGATAAAATTTTGCCATTTTGATGGCAGTTTGTTTATGAGGCATGCCTTTTAAGTTCTGTCGTTTCCATATTTCCCGGCAATTTTGAATTTGGACCTGTACTATATTCGAAAGTGTTTAAATTTTGAATCTCAAAACAGTTAAAAGTATTAGGATTAATGCTATTGTTTAGTCACAGCGTCGATTTGAATCTGTCAAGTTATCTACGAAAATGAATCTTTCTAAGGAAAATGTTCGCGCAATAATTTTCTACAACTTTAGAAGAGGCCTGACACGGCTTCAGTGTTTTGAAGACCTAATATCTGTGTTCACTGATGAATCCCCATGTCTGCGGACTGTCGAACGCTGGTATTTAGAATTCCAGCGTGGACATACTAGTGTTAGTGACAAATCTCGCGAAGGACGCCCAAAATCCGCCTTCACTGAAGAAAACATCATTGCTGTGAGACAATTAATTCTCGAAGATCGTCATGTGACGTATCGAGAGATAGAGGCTCTATTAGGCATCTCAGGGACAACCATTCAGAAGATCTTGCATGAAGCGCTTGGTGTGTGAGAAAGCTAGTTTGCCGTTGGATACTGCATCTGCTTTCCGACGATCACAAGGCGGCCCGCGTCAGATGGTGTAAGAGAACTCTGCAATGGTTCAATCGAAGAGAGTTAAATCACGTCTACGACATCATCAGTGGTGACGAATCTTGGATCTATACCTACGATCCTGATTCCATACAACAATCTACAATCTGGACGTCTTTCAAGACGAGCCAAAGCCGACTAAACTCGTTCGTTCTTGAAGCACTTCAAAGAAGATGGTGGCCACGTTCGGTAGAAAAACCGGCCATGTTGCGACTATCGCACTTGAAGATCGTAGAATAGTTAACGCAGAGTGGTATACCACAGTTGGTTTACCACAAGTCATCGCCAAACTTCGAAAATCTAACTTAAAGCGACGCATCATCCTGCACCACGACAACGCAAGCTCACACAGCGCTCGTCAAACAATTCAGTATTTGAAGCAGGAAAAAGTAGAAATTCTTGACCATCCTCCATACAGTCCTACATACGATTTCTTTGCATTTCCAAAAAGTAAGAAAAGTCTTCGTGGTCAAAGGTTCCAGTCCGGTGAAGAAGCAGTCGACGCTATCAAGTCAGCCATTTTGAACACCTCCACTTTAGAGTGGAATTAATGTTATAATAACTGGTTTGAGCGAATGGAAAAGTGTATTAAGCTACGTGGTGAATACTATGAAAAACAATAAAAAGTACTATAAGGTTCTAGTTGTGTTCTTTTCTGCAAACGACAAAACTTAAAAGGCATGCCTCGTATTCCTTTACAGTAGAAGTTTGCCAAACGGGAGGCGATGAAGTCAGCGTTTAGTATTCCCTCTCGGCTGTGGATGTGTGTGTGAATGTTTGAAAAAAAAGTATAAATCCGTTGGGTCCAGTTACAGTGGGTGACGGAGAGCTTTCAGCTGTAACTCTTATCATCTCATCACATAGCTGATGGTCTGTCGTGAAGTGTGAAGTCGTGGAGAATAATGGGAAAGAGAGATTGACCAGTCTTGGTTGTTGAATTTCGAGCTACTCCATCATTGTTTGCAATTTTGGCAATAGACATCTGCCGCCACTTGTGTACCATTCTGTAAGAAGCTGTAATGTTCAAGTCCAGCACTGGTCCACTAGACAGTCACCATCGCCTTCCTGAGTAATCAATGTTTAGCACACTGACTAGGTGCCGTTCCCTATCCACCCACAGAGACGAACGCTTACGGTTGCCGAACAAGATCCACTTTTCATCGCAGCTAACAATTCACTTTAGAATTCTCACCTTTCTATGGCGATTCAGTACGACTATAGATGCTCCGACGCGTAAGTCTCGCTGTTGGTCGCTTAATTCGTGTGTGTGAAACCTATCAAGCTATTTGTCTTTCCGGTTTGACGCATGTGCTCAATCTTGTTTTGACAGTAACTCCAAGGCCCGCAGTTGTCTTTGTTCACAATAGTTATTGGTCGACCAAGAGTCTCCACATTTCCAATAGTTGGACCATTGAACCAATTATGGACCATATTTATTGCACGTCCGTACACGTCGTAAACACTTCGTGTTGTTTGCGCAGCGGTAACTCGTAAGAACTCATATTTGAAAATTTAACGAATTTTCAGTTTATCCATGGCGCTAAAAACTACCACAATTTCACAAAAACAAAAAACCATCTAAAAACAAATGACTGAATTTGAACCGAAATTAACAATTTTAAGAATTATAACAAATTAAATCTGGAAATGCTGGTTATAGAATCTCCAATTACATAGACAAAAACCTATTATATCGTCTCAATGTAAAAAATACAGATCCACTAAAATCGTTTTTAACGACATTTTCCCCGTCCCATCTTTGCACCCGTGACGTGACCTTTCTTAAACGTGAAAAGATTATAATAATTTAGCACTTGCGAAGTTTTTACACAAAAAAAAACCGTTACTATTACGTACAGTACAGATAAAAGAATCCCGTATGGTACTTTTAAACTCACCTACAGGGCGTATCCGCCCACGGGCCAGCGAACGTTAAGTAAAGGTTATCGGGTGAGTTGAGATTGAGTCCCAACGCAGTCAAATCCTGTCCCAGTGCTAGCGATACGAGACTGGGGTCCGATTCCGCCGCCCGTATAAAGGTTAATAGCCCCACAATTCCATATTGGTTAGGTATCATGGTATCTGGTATATTCGTAACTTTACCTGAAAAAAAATTGATACGAAGTGTTACTTATACGAAAAATACAATTTTTATCTGATACGCATTTATTAAGGGAAGAATTAGAGTGCTCTGCATCTTTCTAAACTGCACGAAATTAAAGTATCATATTTAATATCTTTCAATAATTATTATATATTTTTTTATAATTATTGTTAGCTGACGAAACGTAACAATACAGTGAGTAAATAACTGAGATTTTTGTTGATCAAACGGATGCAGCAAAGTGTTTACACTCATTTATATATCTATTATGTGTCACCCTCTAAACTTAAAGTATATTGTTTAAAATTCAATCTTATTGGGATCAAGTTTTATTTTAAGTAAAATACTAAATGCGTACTTAACAGATTCATTTAAATAAAATATGTATACAAAGTCTACTACTACACTACATAAAGAAACTTCTGAGATCTAAAACACAGACGGATCGTTAGTTAAAAAGAAAAATCGTTGCCATATATTTTTATGATCTAACACTGCGAGAAACATCTTTTACATAGATATCACTAATACAAGAATTGGTATTTAATTCATTTTAAGTTTATTATTTTTTAATTTAATGCACAGACTATAAACTGTTTTATTTGGTTGTTAATTAAGATTTTACATTATTATTGATTTGCCTGCCAGTCTCTTTACTAAGATTTGAAAAATGAAGAAAGTTTAACCTAAATAACCAAATTAATTTTTCGTAATTATTAAATAATATTTATATAAATTATTATTATTATTTAAATTTATCACATCAATTTTTATATAGTGTTTTTAAACAAAAAATCTATTTTCATGCATACTAAAAAGCAAATAAAAACTACAAACTCTTGTACCATAACCCGTGGTACATCATGCAAAAGAATAAAATACTAAATTTTCAAAGCTATATTAATTTCCTAAATAAACACTTAAATACACACCATAAAATTCCGAATGTGCTCCTTGATTGACAACTTTAGGGCAGAAAAGGTTAATATCACTTTTCGTCAGCGATCCTGACGCATGCAGTGCAGAAAAAATATAATCAAAAATCATTTATCACGTAATTGAAGTTTATGAAACTGTTGCATAATGACGGTTATTAAAAACAATATATTTGTACACTACTTTATCTAATCTCATTAACTAAGTTTGAAACAAATCTACGTTACGTATGAAACCTCAACGCTGAAAGCAAGAAAGATGAGAAAACTTGTAATATGCCATATAAAAGAAATGGAATCTGTATGTGGTACAATGTTAGTTATAATAACACTTGACCCGTATCACAGTGAAGATTATACACATTATTTACCTGGAGCAATGATGGGTTTTTTTCAAATATACGAGATTAGATAAAATAATCCAAATTATGTTATTGTCACTTAAAACATTAATTAATTAAGAAGTACAATTACTTAAGCAATTTAATAAAGATTGAAATAAGTCACCATAGATCCAATAGATAGCTAAAAAAGATCACTGCCCTATGCATCCTTAAACCAATTATATTTCACAGTTAATTTTATGGGCTTTTTAGGTTTATAATTTAATTAATATGTAATAAGATATACTTTTATAAGTAATTAACACGGCTGTTAAGTCTTTACCTAGATCGATAAGTCTCCACAGACTGAACCCAATAGTAATCGTATTTAACGGATATAAACGCAAATAATCAACACAACACATGGCATCATTTCAGGCTTAATCACACATCGAAAGATTCTTATTAGACTTAACCCGAACGAGGACTCCCACATGTCAAAATCAATACATTTTTGAGAAACGAAATTCATGAAGTTTCACATGTTTCCATTATTTGTATATGGTAATAACATCGTAACCATAGCAACAAGGACAATACTTATATTCACGTTTTATAATCAGGCTGATAGTATAGGTGTTTTAGTTTTTATGAGGTTTAGTTTACAAGTTCATTCAAGAACGCCTACCTGAGACGAACTCATTAGAACTAAGACTAAAATATCCCTTGAGACCCTTAGCAAGAATGAAAATAGAAAATCAAATAAGTAATTGTATTAATTTACCTTAAATTAAATATTGTAAACTAAGATTACATATATGTTTTATTGAATCTGTTCAGTGGTTTTAACGTTTGCTTAATGGTTAACTCTCATGGCTTTACCTGGAGTCTCTAGTTTCAGTTTGACAAAAACAATTTTATAGAGACACAGACGGCTGATTACAATACTCGTTACCTCGTGGCCTTTAGGTTCGACTACCAACGAAAATAATACTATAAGTAAGCAAGCAGGGAAGAGTTCAAGTATTACGTAACGATTTTTTTCTATTTGTAAAAAGTTACGATGCGGTGCGGGTATTGAATTACGTGTTATTGTTAATATTATTTTCGCCTTTCCAGTACTTTACACCACATAATGGTAACTTTTAGGTACAAAGAGTCACTGGGTGGTCACGAAACGTTAAAACGTTGTACCCAATAGTAAACTATTGGTACAGAAAAACGTTACGGCGCGTTACATGGGAGGGGGGGGGTGTCAATAATCTCCAAAAATTGTTTGACGTACTACTTGAACGCTCCCCAGGGGGCTGATCACCCGTTTGCCTTAGAAATGTCTGGCCCATTACCCATCGGGAGGTTAGGGGGTATTGCGTGTATACCTTCGGGCGACGTCTGAATACCCTTCCTCGGGGGCTTGGTGTCTGGATGGATAAGGTCAGGAGGCGGGACGACAGGCGCTGCGCCTCCCGCACTCGAGGTGCCCGGCAACGCGGGGAAGTCTTCCGACGACATCGTGAATTCGGACTGTTCTGCCGTTGGCTGCTTAACCATACCCACTACAACATTTAAAGACACGACATTAGATACGCCTCGATGAGCTGAAAGAAGTAAATGTCAAGTGTTAGTCTACCTAAATATACAGCATTTTAAACATTATCTCTTGCCTACACAGAAAAATTATCAATTAATAGAGGTAGGCCTGAGACTTGATTTAAGTAACACTAAATTAAATTAATAATTATTTTCACTTACTGAACCCTCAACGTAGATTAATCTCTCTCTTTATAGAATAAAAAAGTTACAAAAAGCACATGATATTCCTGTTTGGAGTTGCAACATACAATTCAACACACACAATATAGAATGAGCACATTTTATTGGGCAATTTGGATAATTAGAATTGCTGATTACATTTTGTAACACATATAAAGAGATATAAATTCAATAAGACCGATTTGTAATAATGTGATACTTAAAGTAAAACATAGTTTATCGGATTAAAACGCGTTTATCTTACACAATTTCAAATGTTCACGGGTTGCTTGCTGTGAAGTACGGCTAAGGTCGGATTCTAAAAATTAAAATTCAAGGTAAATATTTGGAAAAATGTGCTTGTTACACGGACTTTATCCGCTACAGTGAATTTCTTTGATACGTGATAAATATTATTTTATACGAGAGTATTTAGATACAGTTAAATTGTCATATGTATTATTATTATATGTTTTAACCTGAAACATTCGTGGTAGTCGGATTTGCAAAGTAATTGAACGGAGCAAAAGCGGTTGAACGAAAGCCTTTCTTACGAACTTTGTACTATTATATATATACTTTGTACATTCTGCTTATAGATATATATATAGTTATTATTGTTGATATGTAATTAAATATTAATTTAAAATGTTCTAAACATCGCCGTTAATCAGCCTTTACGGAGATGTAGTCTGTGGTAGGTACCAATACAACGCATTTAACTGATATAAACGCTAATTATTACATTATTTTCATAACACACAAAGCAATAAATTGCGTCAATATGGCAACATTTCAATATTCCTAGTCCACTAACCGTAAGATTCATGGTCGAAATAATGCCTAAAAAAGTTAATATGTCCAATATATATCTTAATATATATAAATTACGCGTCACGTTGTTTCTCCGCTATGGACTCCTCAACTACTTAACCGATTTTAATCAAATTTTCACACCGTGTGCAGTTTGATCTAACTTAAAAGATAGGATAGCTTACATCTTGATTTATACCCGCAATATTATTTTATTGCAAATTATTTGTTTATTATTTGATATTCACAATTCTAACAGATGGCGCTGTGTTGAAAGTACCAACGTTTCAAATAAGCTACAATTTATTGGCATAACCACCAATAAAGCATGGTGGTCCCCTGGAGATCTCCTACAACAACGCTTGGCTGAGTCTGCTAGTCATGTATAAAAACAAGTTATCCGCCCCGTATATCTGTCTATTCGCGATAAACTCAACAACTTATGCACAGAATTCGTTACGGCTGTCAAATTCATGTGGAAGGTTTAGGTATATTATCAAAGTTTACGGGTCACGGACCCGTTAACCGGGGAAGGTCGCTAGTTTGTTAATAATCATCTTCTTTCATACACTATAGAACTATTATTCTAATAGGTGTTAGGTATCGTTATAATAGTTTTTATGGCGTAACCTATGATTTGTTTTACAACAAATACTGTGTATACTCTATTCAGCTAAAGCTTACCGCACATTTTCGGATGTTAGAGAGAATTGTCATTATATGGAAGAAAACATAACATTATATGTATGTTTTAGCGAGTTTGACGTTAATATTAATGAGGTTACATGGAGTTTACCCCGTATTAATTAGTACTGTAATATTGCATGATCTGCCTACCGTAGGGTTTAGAGCCCGGCGGTGGTGGCGCCGCAGCTGGCGCTTGGTCTCCTGCCCCTCGCGCTGTTAATGATGGAAACTCGCTGAGATCCAGCAGCGGCGGCGTCGACGTGTCACCGCCTTCGCCAAACACCGAGTGGTAGTTGCTGCTATTGAACCGGGGAAGGCTCGCCATACTTGACTGAAATTTTTTAGATTCATATGCAGTGCTGGCATATTTGGGTAAGATTCAGAAATGAGATATAACGCCAATTGTTATTTTGACTTACGGATGTCATAGCTCATGCTAAATCTCAACTCTAAAAATAATACTTAGTCCCGTAAACACAGCCTTGCAGAATTAGTATCAAAGTCTGCTAAAGCTATCTGTATACAATGCAATAAACATAAATGAAAATTTAATTAGAATAAAGAACATAATTGTGAATAAAAAGCCAATACGGTAACATAGTAATTATGGTTAATAAATCACTTTATTTTATCTATGTATATCATCGAATAAGCAGTTTGAATAAAAATGTATTCACGAGTCTTAAAATTCTCACCCAGCCAAAGCAAATAACATGTGCAAGTACAAGCATTTAAGTGTATTTGTTTCCCATTAATGCTACATAATGGTTTCTGTAAGTGGGCAGACTTGTTGTGACTGTTTTATTTATCGTTTTTTCTTCATAGGTTTTTGCAATCCAAGAAAAATCAATTGTTCAGGTAATCATTCTTTTGTTCTTCTCAAATCAGTTTTTGTGTTGATTAGAATGTCCAGACATAATGTGGTGACTATCAAGTTACAAAATATTGAATTTCAAAATATTAATATAGCATTTAAATAAAAATTTACACAATAAACCTTCTTAGATTAATTTAATATTTTAGTTATAACTTTTAAAGATTAATGAAAAATAAATAAACTGTCATACCATAGAATTAGAATTTGCTTGTGAGAGTGGTGTCGGTATTGGCACTCTCCGATCAGCAAATGCTCGCTGTCCAAACAGTGTTGACCTTGATGCCATTGAGGGTGGTGCCCCACCAGGCATTGCTGTCCCACTGCTCCGGCCAGGAGACAGCGGGCCACCAAATGTTGGGGTCACATGGCCAGAGACACCACTAACTAAACCTGAACCTACGCGCCCACCAACGCCTCCGCTAACGAGGCTTCTAGGAGCTTGTTGATAATTCAAGTTTGCCATACCCTGAAATTTTATTTTTTTATTTAAGAATGTATTTTATGGACATAGAATAAAGGTCTAAACTTCATGTCAACTAAAATATTTAAATATTAAGGATATATGTATAGCATACAGTAGGTAGTAGTTAGAACAAGCTATTTCTATTATTATAGTTAGCTCATTCCAGCATTTGTGTACACAAAAATTTGTTGAATTTTTGCATTTATTAATTTTTGGCATTAATATAGGTTTGTACTTGTGTTCCACATGTAAAAGTAAGTTTACAAATCTTTAAAAGTCATCTCATATCTAATCCAATTTTGTGTATTTGGTTATATCCCCTTGAGAACAATACAGAATTTTAATATTAATAAATTTAATAAAAATGACAGCATTGATTTATTTCAATAATTGTTGTTTATTTCAATTCCTAAATGCTAAAGTTAAAAACTAGATACCTTCAGGGGCTACTAATACAAATCAGTATTTATTACAAAGTTACCACAACAGACGGTCATTAATATACTACATAATATGTTTCTTAGTGGTGATTAAATTTTGATGTCTTATTATCTCAAATTAATAACTACTTTTCTTAAAACAATACTAAATGTGTTTCACAGGATTTTCTAGATAGTACAAGATATAAAGTCAATGAGTAATTATCTATACAAACAATAAAGTTAATCTAAGCAAGACAGTACTAACATTGCACTGAAAAATTTTGATTTTACTCCAACTTTAACTTATTGAATCGTCCAGGATTACTAATCATTTCCTTGATGTATACTTTGTGCACCAAATCCTAGATGACAAAATCACATAATGTTATTAGCCCTTTTGAAAATAGGATAGAATTCATTTCTCCATATATATGTTTTGGAGAATCAATTTCAAATTGATAATGTAAATAATACCTTATGAATGTTTAATAATGCAGAAATAATTTGTCATTAAAAAATATGTCAGGGGCAATTGGAATTAGAATTAATAGATTAAAATAGCAATAAAAAATATAAAAGAAATGGCTAGGTATGTGCACCCATGTATGCAGTCATAGAAAATGACATGTTGAAGAAATAAAAGTAATTGTTATCAAAAGTCAATAATAACAAATAGAGTTGGTATATGTATGTATATCAAGGTGGTTATTTATTCTCCTGTCAAATAATGGCGACCCTGGAAGACATTCCAAATTTAGTTTACTGTTCAATTAATAAATTTAATATTTACCTAATGTGTTAACGACAGTCCTTAATTATTATTCTAGTAACCGTATGGATGGTACATAATCATTTACACTTCGTGAAAATTAAGTTTTTCCACTTGAATGAAATAAACAAAAGTTTGTTGACTGTTCAATTTTTTACAATTTATAATTTTTTTGCACGAACAAGGCAATCCAAGGCTTTTTTTCCATGTAACACTGCTATAAAACACTGAAAACTTTATACATGTTTACGTTACTATTTATTATTTTAACAATTTCACTCTGGTTTGTCGAACGCCACATTACTCTAAACAACTGGCGGCCATATTGTTAGGCCGGATATTACGATTTCAGTCACTTATTTATCTCACATTTCTATTATAAAAGGTCTTGGTATAAAACAAATAAAATAATCCGTAGTAAAATTAATCGCAAATTTCTTTTTTTATTATTTTAGAGGTTTAATTCAATATTTCTAAAATAATTATGAAAAACTGTAATTTAGGAAGTCTATTGTCTATACGTAAGAATGTTTAAATTTGTTACCATTTCTCAAGTCAAAATCAAACGTCATTATGAAATTTTGGTCAAAATATGTATTTTAAATATTTTCAACATTCATAAACATATTGATAACAATATTTAAACCTTAATTTATATTCTATAAAGAAATAGAATTATTCTTCTCAAAAAATTTATTAATTGTATAAAAATTAATAATAAACTTTAGTTAGATATTTAAAACGGAATCAGGAAATATACATTTAACCTATACTGTATAGGGGATTCCATAGAATAATAATTATTAGAATCATACTAAACTATGATACTAGACTAATGAATAATGTAGGCAACAAAACACAAACCATTTCATAATATGAATTAACACAGACTTACCTTCATAGTTTTACAAATTTATAGTAATTCCGCAATGTTTTATCAACTATCAAAAACGTGTAGTATCTACTTATTTTCTAAGTGATAATAATAGTTAACAAATCAGTGTTTACCTGATATTGAGTCATTTACTGTAAAATATACACGCTTCTCTCTGTATTAGTTGAAAACCTTAAAATAAGAAGGTAGAATTAATGTCTGTCTACCCGCATTCTTTACAGATTTTTTAAATAATTATGATTTTTACGGAAATCAGAATAAGTTTTTTTATTACACATGTAAAATAAAAAGTTTCACAAATAGCGAATATTCGACAATAGACTATATCGTCGTAGTAAGGTAAATTCTAGAAAAAACAAACAATATAATCTCCCAAGGCGTTTCTCAGGAATATGAAAAAATATAGCAAGTCCTGCAAAGTCAGGGGATAAACAAATAATCAGGAATAATAAAGAAAAATGGAAAAACTAGACTAAAATGGGTAAATAAGGAGGGATTATAGATATTGGATGACGAGTGAGACAGGGAGACCGTCTGTCATCAAAACTGTTTTCGGCGGTTCTGGAGGAAATAATTTTCCGAAAGCTAAGTTCGAATAAATACGAAGTAATAATAAACAGCGCAACATTGACCCACTTAAGGTTTGCAGACTACCTGATTTTATTTGCCTCAACACGCGATGAATTGGAGAAGATGGTCACAGACCTTGACTTGGAAAGCAGGATTGTCGGGCTTAGGTTGAATGCCGAGAACCATTCCAAAAGGAATTTTTTTTTTTTTTTTTTTTTTATTCTTTTCCCCTTTTTTTTTCCCCTTTTACCCCCCCCCCCCCCCCCCCCAATAAAAAAAAACACCACCCCCGTGTTACGTTGTTTGTCCCCATGACTGGTGTTCTCCTACCGTATTCCCTTGCAAATAGTTTGTTCTACTATGGGATAGTAACACAATTCTTACAGACAGCGCTGTGTTGAAAGTACCAACGTTTCACATAAGCTATAATTTTATGGCATAACCACCAAAAAAGCATGGTGGTCCCCATGACTGGTGTTCTCCTACCGTTTCCCTTGAATAGTTTGCTACTATGGAATATAACAAAATCCTTAGACACAGCAACGCTTGGCCGGTATGCTAGTAGTAGATATTATATAATATGTAGCTGAGTACTCGTAATTAAAGAAACAGCAGGTGGTACATTGTAAAGATTGCAGGTAAGGCGGAATTGGAGCAGGGCACAAAGATACCTAAAAATAATGAGATAGTAATATAAATGCGTTAAAGTGTAAAAGTATCTGAAATAAAATGCTATTATTTTTAATAGTTATTTTATATTAGGATAAATGACATCTTCTTTATTATTAGTAACGTGCTATTTAGTTCGATCAGTGCAAACTTTCATAACAAATCGACACAAAACCAAAATATAATATAAAAATTTGTGTGCCACTTATTGCAGCTGTGGTACCAAATTACAAAGTTTGAATACACAGAATAATTATGCATTGCTTTGGTCACTTTAATCCAATTGTACCTATATAATATAATATGCGTCTTTTAATATGGTTCAATCAAGTTGAACGCTGTTTGGACGAGATGTAGGATTTTTTTGTGGATGCATTTAAGGGTTAACGCACAGTTTTTTTTATATATTTTAAATACCATTGTCAATAGTCATAGTGTTAGGGCAAAATATTACTAAAATAAAAATATTGATTATTTAAAATAGATGTTTTGTTTTATTTCACGAAATGTGCCCACGGCCTCACCGTTAAGTACCTTCGTCATAAATAAATAATTACGCAGTTTGTCTTATTTTCTTTGAAATTACTTCAGCATTTGTAGAAAACTACCTTGATAGTTATTTGTATTGATGTAAAACCTTATTATTTAGAATTTAAAAAAAGTTGTATTCAATTAATTCTGTCAATCAGATTTTCGTCAAAAATGTTGTATTAAAACGTTGGCTAATTAAACATTTTTGGTGTACAAAACAAAATGGTAGCAGAGCGTGGTTCGATGATTGGAAACGTTTTCAACGAAGATTGAAGAAACAAATAGTGTTTTCTGGGAATTTTCATCTCATAACCTGGTGGTGATAGTTACTGGAATTTTGGTGACTGACAATCATGGATCAAGGTGAGAAGTTGAAGGGTTCGGAAAACATTGGAAATTTATGGTGCGTAATTTATTGCTGCAACTGATGGAGCCTAAAGTCAGATGGAGAGTTGACTAAACCGGTGCTGGTGAAATCGCGGCGATAACGTCGGCTCCACAAAAGTTTGGGACAAACATCCGCAGCTTGTCAAATATCGTCAAGACAATTGTTCAGAGTTATGACCTGATGTCGCCTGCGAGACTGCTCATCAGATGTGGCAAACTGACGTATGAAAACAAACAAAAAGCTGTTCATTCGGTGCAACGGAGTTTTAGTTTTGAATAATTAGGGATTTGTAACTAGCTAAATTGAAGGTTTGATTCTTCGTATGCAGCAGTTGAAGGTTAAACTCGAAGTCAGCTTTGAGGTTAAGTTGCTGGAAACTTTGCCTACAGTTTTGAAAGTTTCAGACAACCTGGTGGGCCAGATCGGACATCAACAAACTCTTATAACCTATAATGTTTTGACATCATGAGCACAGAAGAAAGCTTCGGCAAGAAAGGTGGACAATTTATGGCATGATGGCAACCAAGTTGAAGGTTCAAACCAAAGGTGCAAGTGAAGTCAACATGGTGATAACAGCCAAAGATGATGTCAATCAACCAGAAGGGAAAGAAGTCTACCTTCAAGTGCTACGGTTGTCAAGGAGTTGGTCATTTTCGAAGAGATTGTCCAACAGCAAAGAAGAAGAAGAAATCTGGTGATGTGGTCTCTGAAGGTAAAAATAAGCTTTCGTTAGCGAAGTCTTCAATGCGGACAAGAATGAAGTTTGGATCATCGATTCTGGTGCGACTGACCATATGACCTTCAAGAAAGAATGGTATATATTCTTTGAAGCTTTCTCGATTCAGCTGAAATTCGTATCGGGAACAATTCAGTGATGCGTGCCTTGGGAAGAGGAACTTCAACTTCAGCGCTTGTAATGAACTTGGACTGCTGTTACATGGAAAACGTGCTGTATTTCCTGATGCCCGAAGGAATCTGTTTTCGGTACTGCGCTGGATAAAGGCATGACTTTCAGCTCTTCCAAGGATAGATTGAGTTTCTGCTGAATGGTGTTGTCAAGGCGCAAGGTTACAACTGGTCAACTATTCAAGATGTTGCTCAGAGTCAACGAACCGGACACGTGCTGTGTGAGTGAACTAACCTGGCGTTCAAGGACTCGCTTCAAGTTTGGCATGAACGTTTGGGCCATCAAAACAAACGTCATGTTGCTCAGGTTCTCAAAAAACGGAATTCATTGAAACCTGATGATGAGTTCTGTGGATCCTGTGTAGAAGGTAACAACATCGACAACCGTTCAACTCACGTAACAGGATCTTCTGAGCCAGGTGAGGTGATTCATGCTGATGTCTTGGTCAATGGAACAAAGTCGATTGGTGGTTCCAGATACTTTGTCTGTTTCACGTGTGACTACTCAAGTTTCGCCTGGTTACTTCTTGAAGGGAAACTGAGGTGATTGACAAGGTCAAAGAAATGTTGCAGTTTGTGAAGAATCAACTGGTCAACCAGTTAAGGTGTTCCAGTGTGACGGAGGAGGAGAATTTGAAATGGAGCGATTCAAAATCTCATGAGGTCTGAAGGAACGAAGATGGTAGCACCAATCCGTACACCCTCACAAAACGGTTGTGCTGAACGATCAAACAGAACAATTGATGACCTAGCACGTACTATGCTTGTTAGCAAAGTTCTACCGAAGTTTCTATGGGCTGAAGCTGTCAAGGTGGTGTAATCCTCAACGAACTGGTCTAAGTTCTGTAGAGGGTAAAACTCCTTACGAGTTGTTCGTTGAGAAGAGCGTTCATCTGAACAGGTTCCATATCTTTGGAACCGTTTGCTACTGATGGTGCCCAAAGAACGTCGGAAGAAGTGGGATGCCAAAGGTGCCCAGGGAGTATTCGTCGGGTATTCCGACAAATTGATGGTTTTCGTGTGTGGATAAAGGACACAGGACGTATTCGAAGTAGAGAGGTAGTGTTCGGTCCATAGATTCCTCTAAAGTTTTGGCATTGTTTCCTGCTGAGCTACAGAAAAGGATCCCGTTGTCGAAGAAATTGAAGACCATCTTGAAAATCTGAACTCTCCTAGAGTTCTGAACTTACCTGAAGCTCCAATTCTGCCTGAAGTCCTGAATCCTGTGTTACCAGATCAAGTTGTTGTGCTGAACGCGAATCGAAGAGTTCGATGAAACCCCCAAGACTGCAAAGGAGCCCATTCAACGGTGTCTTCGAGTAAAGTACTCTTCAGAAACCTGTAAGATTCAATGAGATGTTTCTTGCAGAGTTAGACGAACCTCGAACTACAAAGAAGCCATGGAGTCGGCTGATCATGTGCAATGGAAGGCTGCGATGAAAGAAGAAATGTCTTCGCTGGAGGAAAATGGAACCTGGACTTGACAGAGTTACCACCAGGAAGGAAGACTATCGCCAATCGCTGGGTCTTTCGTATCAAACGAATCGGAAGGGAAGATCTGTCGTTACAAAGCTCGACTTGTTGCGAAGGGATACAGTCAACGAGAAGGTATCGATTATAATGAAACATCAGTCCTTAGCTCGTTTTGATACAATCAGGGCGATCTGAGTATTGCTGCCAAGGAACATCTCAAGTTGGCCCAGTTTGATGTCAAGACGGCCGAAGAAATCTACATGAATCAAGCTGAAGGTTTTGAAGACGGTTCTAATCTTGTGTGCTTGCTGATTAGGAGTCTCTATGGTTTGAAGCAATCGCCAAGGTGCTGGAACTCGATCAAGGAGTTTTTAATCTGTAAGTTTGGTCTTGTCCAAAGTGAAGCTGATCCGTGTCTTTATCGTATATCTGATGAAGATATGCTGATCGTTGTTTTGTACGTGACATGCATTGGTTGCTGCGACGAAAGATGGCATTATTCAAGAGTTCCTGAGAAGCTGGAGATGGAGTTCAAGTCACTCTTGAAGAGCTTGGTTCTTTCTTGAATATGCTCATTGAACGAGAGGAAGATGGCTCAATCGTTTGAGTCAGAAGGTGTATGCAGAAAGTCTTCTTCAGAAGTTCAACATGGCAGAACAAACCTGTCTCGAGCCCATCGAAAAATACGTGCAATTGAGGAGAAAACTGGTTTAAGAACATCTGCTCCTTACCGTGAAGCTGTAGGATGTTTGATGTACTTAGCTGTAGCCACTCGTCCTACATCGCGTTCGCAATTAGTTACGCGTCGCAATTCCTGGAAAATCCGGAAGAAGTTCACTGGTTGCTGGTCAAAAAGAATCCTGAGGTACATTAAAGGGTCTAGTTCGGTTGGCATCAGGTATGAGGCTGGTTCTGGAGGAAGTGAATTGAAGGCTACAGTGATGCTGATTTGCTAGTCAATCTGACACTCGTCGGTCGGTCAGCGGGATTGTTTTCATGCATAGTGGAGGACCAATATCTTGGGCTAGCAGACGTCAAGAGTGTGTGTCCTTATCCAAACTGAGGCTGAGTATGTCGCTGCTGGTGAAGCTGCGAGGGAATCAGTTTGGTTGGCGCGACTGTTTACAGAAGTTTCTCCCTTAGACAACGTTCCGGTTCTTTTGTGGACAACCAAAGCGCAATAAGTTAGCGAAAAATCATGAGTTCCACAAGAGGACCAAGCATATCGAAGTGAGGTACCATTATTTTGAAAGGAATTGTAGGATGGAAGGTTGAACATACAACATGTACCAGGTGATCAACAACTTGCTGATATCCTGACCAAGCCGCTACCTCGTCTGAGATTTGCTGAATTACGTTCTGCTCTGGGAATGATTTGAACTGTTTTTAAATTTATTCATGTTTTTATGTTAAAATTGAAATATCTAATGTTTTAGAGGAAGTATTGATGTAAAACCTTATTATTTAGAATTTAAAAAAAGTTGTATTCAATTAATTCTGTCAATCAGATTTTCGTCAATAAATGTTGTATTAAAACGTTGGCTAATTAAACCATATTTTTGGTGTACAAAACTATAATAATTTGATCCATTGTACCTCACTTATGATCCAAGTAAATCATAACCATAACATTATACAGCTTTGGTACATCTTTCGACCTCTTTAAATAAAAGCAGGTAAGGTTTCGACTTTCGGTGTATTAAAATAGTATTTTGTTAATATGATAAAAATTACACTAACCCCACAGAGCTATTTAAATAACAACGACTTTTATCACAGACAATAATTGTCTATGAAAAGTCATACGGAAAATTTATTGAATTAAGTGGTAACACCGAGATCATATGATATTTCAATGGAGAAGCACGTCTGATAGGCGTCGACATATATCTCTAGCCAGTGTTTAATTTTCTGGCTCAATATCGGCGGTTTTACGTGTCATTGGTGATAAAAATATAACTTTCAGCCATGGCGCTCAGCGATGCAGATGTTCAAAAACAGGTATTTATATCAATTCGGCAACAATCGTTTTTTTTACACGTTCCAAATGTAATGAGTTTGTCAAGATGATTGATCCAAGACTAGAACCAAAGGCGATGTAATATATTGATTGTAATAATTAAAGAGAGGCTATGCAATTTTAAGTATTTTGGCATGATTATGCTGATTTTGTATCCATATTTCCGTAAAATACGTCAAGTTCGGAAGTTTGAGTAACCATGGGTCCTCTTTTACCAGATCAAGCACATGATGGCCTTCATCGAACAAGAGGCCAATGAAAAGGCCGAAGAAATCGATGCTAAGGCCGAAGAGGAGTTCAACATTGAAAAGGGCCGTTTGGTCCAACAGCAAAGGTTGAAGATCATGGAATACTATGAGAAGAAGGAGAAACAAGTTGAACTCCAAAAGAAAATGTAGGTGTGATTTCATTGTCAATGTTTAGTAAGCAAACCATACTCAGCTTTACAAAAATTAAACATACTACATATTACATGTTTCCACAATCACTTGAACTATTGTTCAAATTTACCTATAGAATTGGTATTGTTTGTATTGTAAGTGTAATAAAACCGATTTTTAATTTTCACAGACTGATTAATTTAAGGCTATTTTATCATTAACTAAATAAAATCTCTTGAAAGTATGTACTTAGTCATGTAATTTTTGATTGTTGGAAACCTTAATGTTTCCACAAAAATTAAGTAATAAATTACAAATATAGATATCTACCCTACAAGTAGGATGATATTGATGTCCTTAAAGATCATATGACCATTGAATTTTTAGTAAGTATAAAGCTCTGAAATATGATTCTTTAGTTTTGAGTAATACATTGTAACTTTTATAATTTATGTATTAACATTTGCAGCTAAGGAATTATTTGGAAATATTATTTTAATTAAGTACTACTATATATGAATATTACTTTGTAGAAATAACATGAACTTTATATCAAACAGTGGCTGCAGTTACAATTTAGCTAAATGTTTTGTTAATTTGTTTAAGAAAAAAATTGTTTGATACATTTTACAAATATTTTGATTCTTTGTTTATGATCTGGAACCTTTAACTGTTAATCTCTATTTTATTGTAGGTATGATTGTTCTACAGTAATTTTAAACTGGTTTTTCCTTATATATATATATATATTACGATTCTATATTATTGTATCAATTTAATATTTTTGACAACATATTTAAATTATTATAGTTATAGTTCATTCCATGTAAGCTTTAATATTGTGGGTTAAACTCCAGGTCTGTAGGTACAGAATGCAACTTTCTTAAAAATTATCTAATAGACAGAAATAGGGATGCTTCTATGTTGGGGGTTCACGAAACTTTAATATTTAAAACATTTTAAAATATAGAATTCTATCTATATTGCATATAACCCAAGTTCAATGAGTAAGACAGAAATTAAAAAAAATATGGATATTAAATTATGTATTATTTTACCTACACAGCCAGTCATCAAACATGCTGAACCAAGCTCGTCTGAAGGTACTTAAAATACGTGAAGACCATGTACGCAGTGTACTGGACGAGGCCCGCAAACGCCTGGCTGAAGTTCCCAATGACACCAAGCTGTACTCAGACCTTCTTGTCACACTCATGGTTCAGGCTCTATTCCAAGTAAGAAAAAAAATATTGACATATGGGGTCAATAAATTTATTTATAAGAAAGTTAAATTAGTTTTGTTTTTCTTATTTATAGTTTCACTGATTTCAAAATAAGTATTGGATTGCATATAATGAGCAATCCTATACAAAAGGTTTAACAGGTCATTTGTTGCTTTAAAGTATAAGTTTAAAAAAAAATGTATATGAGTAGGATTTTTAAGCTTGATTGTTGTTTTTATAAACGAAATTTCTTTTTCCAGCTTGTTGAACCATCTGTGACTATCCGTGTTAGACAAGCAGACAAGGCCCTTGTAGAATCCCTCTTTGCCAAAGCCCAGCAGGACTACAAGGAAAAAATCAAGAAGGATGTACAGTTGAAGCTTGATGCAGACAACTTCCTTTCACCTGATACCTGTGGTGGAATTGAACTTATTGCTGCTAGGGGACGCATCAAGGTATGTGTATAAATTTTTACTTTATGTAAGTAATTATGGTTTATGCTAGTTACATATCAACAATTTAAAAAAACATGTCAATTATAAAATAGAAGTACAAATGAGCCTATTCCCAAGCTCCAATACATTTTTCTAAATTTTTTTAATTATATAGATGTCGAGTTATAAAATAAAAAAATAATAAGCTTTATTTTTATTCGGAATGTTAGTTTGAGGCTTAAACAATATTTCTATTTAGGGGTAGATATAAATGCAGTTTTTTTGAAAACTTTATTGGAGTTGTAATAAAATTTTAGATTTCCAACACTTTGGAGTCCCGGATGGAGCTGATCGCTCAGCAGCTGCTGCCGGAGATCCGTACCGCTCTGTTCGGACGCAACCCTAACCGTAAATTCTCCGACTAGATTATCACCCTATATTTGTTACTACTAACATTTAAACTTTCTTATTAGTACTAAATAAGTGTTTTATTTTGCCTAAATAATAATTATATATTTTAACATGTAATGCTGTTTAGAATATCTTGAATAATTAGTCATCAGAAATGTTGATGTGAGATCATGTAAAGCTGGAACCTGGTTTTACAGTAAGTGCATTAGTTTCGCCAAAATATTTTACTAACAATTCATTCGAATAGCCCATTTATATTAGAGGATGTAGTTTATAGGATTTTGGAAACGTTTAATGTTGCTATAGATCATGTATGGAATTTATCAAATGTCTAACCAATTTCAGTATTAAGGCACAAGTTACGGGACACCTTCCTCAGAGGATGGTGTCTTACCTGTTTTCATTAACCTGAACTCATCTTCTAGGGAATAAATAATGACTGTAAGAATGAGGTATGACGGCAGCATCCTATGCTATGTCCACTTAAATCTAGATTTGACTGGGCGCAGTGTAGTGTCATAAATCATTCTTGCAGTGCAATACATTCCTTCCTGGTAATCTTCGTTTTTGGCTTGCTTAAATGAGCACTATAGCTCATAATTTAAGATATGTATGTTTCAATTATGGCACTGTTAAAATTCTTATGTAAATATATAGATGTGTTTAAAGAAGTGTTTTATTTATATTTTATATCATTACGGTGTGACCGTATAGGTAACACCGTAATTATATATATATATATATATCATATAATACCGTACATAGTTAAAACAGTATTATTTTTAAGTTTATTGCAAGTATTTTTTTTTAAATCTACGAAAAAGCAAGACGACTTGTAACGACTTTGAAGATGTCGAGTTTATAATTAACTATGGATCAACGTATTAAAGGGCCACGAGACGACACGACAACGTATTGAAGAGTTTACAGACTTGCACAAACTAGGTTTAATAATATTAAATTAATTAGGTATCTGTCTAGATAGTACCTAGAACAAAAACAATAAAACACTATTCCTTGAAATATCATATTTTATGTATCGGGATTTCGCCCATGTTTATTTCATATAATAATTTAAACAATAATATTTTTATTTGCTATCAATATAATTATAAAACTTGAATTAGTTATTGTATAAATTAAATTTACGATTTTGCTTTTTAGAAATATCGATCCTACTTTCTACTATGTTATTGTGCTATCAAAATAAGAGTAATCTCTTCGGCATATTAGGCATATAGCTCCCATATCCACATCTTCCGCGCGGTTTCTCTCGTTGGAGTAGTTGTTATATAGCCTAGATAAACCCTTTCATTTGAAAATGTTCACGTTGGCAGTATGGTGGACTCAGTTTCCGCAGTTAGACTCGTACTCGGTCCGTTGTCCTTAAATTCTGTTTAGGCTTAGAAGTCGCTTTGTCATTTGCGGGTTAACTACTGGCAGTGCCATTTGAGACTGTGCAGTACGCGCTTCGCGATGTTCATGTTGGAGTTCTGCGGATCTTTGGCCATGTTGGCAGTACAAAATATTGAAATTAAACAGAGAAAGGTCACTTTCTTATGATTCTTTATTAGAAAACGAAAATAAATACATACATATTGTTTGTAGTGATATTAAAAAAATAACTATCACAGGAACATTGTTTATAAATTATCTAACTACTGGAATTACATTGTTCTATTAACATTATATATATCTGACTGAAAACAATAATAACTATATTATATACTTAAACCATATTAAAGTACATCATTTGGTAAACCATGCAAGTAATATTTGTTTAATGGTAAATCGTTTTCTGTGAAAAACACATTCATATTTATAGTCCTGCCTACTACTTCAGGACTTTCAACTAATTAATAAATCTAAAAATGTGCTAATATAGTACTGTTATATTTAAAACTAGTCTTTGAATGGCGGTAGGCCAAACAGTTCTGGTTTAAATTCTTCTAACGAACTAAGCACAAGCGTAGCCTCTGTGGTCAAACTTTTGTCTATACGAGGATCAGGAACCATGACAACTTGCATACCAGCTGCGACGGCAGCTTTTACACCATTTACTGCATCTTCAAATACTAAACACTGCAACAAAAGACAAGACGTTTCAATTGTAATGTTACACATATATCAACATATTTGTATCAATACAAACGTGGAGCGTAACCTCTTGCAAAAAAAGTTGTAAGTTTATCAATAAATGAGTGTGAGAAGCTCGAAGGATAATAAAAACGAGAACAGACTATTGTTTTTGTCGTAAATAACATTGAAATAAATTTAATTTTAATCATGATACCATACCGCGTAGCTTTAATAAACGATTTTGATTTTTATGTTGAGTTTCCATGCCATGTACTTAAATCTTTCAAGTTTGTGACATCAGCGGCACAGATATTGTAAGTACAGTGGTACCTCGACATAAGAGTTTATTTCGTTCCGTAACCTTACACGAATGTCAAATTACTTGTATTTCAAAGCAATTTTCCTTATTGAAATGCCATTAATCTGTTCCAGCACCCAAAACACAGTTTTTGACGTGACAACGTCTTATAATTCGATGGAGCCGGCTGCACGCACGAAAAAACATGACTCATGCGGCGTTACCTCGCTCTGAGGCGTTCCATTTAAGGCTAGAAGTGCAAGCGAGAGCGTGGAACGAGCGACAAAGAGGCACGATCGACCTCCGCGTTCGGCAGCGTTCGACATCTGTCATTCAGGAGAACGTTGTGGACGCATCGTTCACTTAAGTAGGAACTTAAGTGAACGATGCGTCCACGTGGAGAGCTGCTATACAAAAATACATTTACATGTTTTTGTCAAGTATGAAGTGCAGTGTTTTCAGTATTTTCTTATGAAGTTGTCACGTTCAACTATCGTCAGTAAACCGACTTTACAGACAACCGATTTTTTTGAATAAGAAAATGATTTCACGTTTTAATTCAATAGACATCATCTTCTTCTTTGTACCCATAAATTAAAAATAAATGTGATTATGTTGTATAAATGTACAAAAAGTAAAAAACGCGAACCCAACTTATCAACAAACAAGCAAACAGACTGAGGTCTAGTCTGAGGTGGGTGAAACTGTTAGTGTAGTGTGTAGTGTGCGATGCCTCATATCACAAAGCAAAATGTCGGTCGCTCTCGCACTCGTATTTTAATTCGCAAATTATTAACTTAATGTCGATCTGTACTATTTTTACAAAGTATTGGGAAGGGTATCACTTCACTCACTAATTCTCGGGCGCTGTACCAAATTAGTCGTACATGTAAAACTAGACTTGAGATTTCCTGAAATAATTCTATCCTGAATAAGACTATTCGCTGGTAACCCTGAGGATATGGCTACCACGATCAGCAACTTCAACACAATGGACGGCCGAAAGCCTGAGCGGGTGAGACCCGCGTGAGCGACGTAGTAAGGGCTGTCGCAACATCTAAGTGGCGGTGGGCACGCACACATAGACATGCGCATCGACAAGAACTCGCAGGGTCCTTGAATGGAGACCTGGGCAGAACAAAATACCTGACGACTTCTTAAAACAGTTTGGCTTCCAGTGAATGCAAGAAAATGGATGAAGCCTACGTTCAGAGATGGATCTAAACAAAACAGGCTCATGATGATGATAAACGTGCTTGGCAAATTTAAATATGCCCGGCAGCGTATTGCAGCACTTCGATAAAATTACCATTAGTTTGAGAAAGTAATAGGGTGATATTTCGAAACGAGAATTATCGGATATTGGTGTCAAGTCTAATTACCGAACCTTACCCATAGAACCGTAAAATATTTCCGCGTCAAAATTTAATGAAAATCTAGAACGTACGTAAAAAAAAATAGACATTTCCTATTTCGACGTTAAAAATAATAGCAGAGTCTGAAGCCTAAACTTATTATACTAAATAAAAACTATTTAATAAAAATGTTTTTTCATAAATAAAGCACAAGTCAGAGTTGCTTTGAGATAAAGCATGTAATGATAAAAAATGTGCTATATCTTTAGTATAGTTGAGATAAACTTCTCGTATCAACATGTAATGGTTTTATTAAGCATTCTTTCATTTAAAAAAAGTAGGGCACCTATACCTATACTGCATGTATATTGAAAGTTTACTTATACCACACATTAAAAAGTATATATAAATTTATATTCCATTGCCAGGAAAACTAAAAAAACAATCTTACTGTCTTAAATGTAGAAACAAAAATTTATATTTGACAAAAGAAAAAAAATACTTTGTCAATATGGAACTGGAAATGGATCTAAAATGTTAATTAGTTTCAGTCTTTCAATCAACTGAAATGTATATAGATATATATTTTACTCTTTTTAACTTACTTTTTCGGGCACAGGTTTATCAGGGAATTTCATTGCTGTTACTAAAAATATGTCTGGATGGGGCTTCCCATTCTTTACTGAAGGGTCTGAGGATCCAAATGTTTTGTAAGGAAACAATGAGAAAAATTCTGTATGATGTTTATCTACTTTGCAATGGTAGCTCTCTTCTCCAGAACTTGTAGCTAAAGCTATGGGTATTTTGTGTTGGTGCAAATGTTCAACAAGTCGTCTAGCACCTGGAATCAAACAAAGCCAACTTTTAACATTAATATGACTGTTTATTAATAGTTCTTTAGTCAATAATGACTTTACAGACACAGGATATTCAAAAATATATAAACCAGTCAGATAATAATATCTGAATATGGTTTTGACTTATTATTAATAGTGAATCATATGAGAAAATTTCACAACATCAACCTGGCAATAACTGGCAATCAGCAAAAATATTTTCTCCTTTTTTACATTCTTGTAGAAATTCTTCTGGGGTCATTGGAAGGTCAAGTTCTCTGATAACCATTGTAGCACTTTCAATTGCTTGAGTTCCCATTATTTTTAACTTTACATCAAATGTATATTCCTTTCCATACTTTGACACAATTTTTTGAAATAGCTTAGTGTACAAATCTTCAGTATCTGAAAAATTTATTGTTTTAGTTAAAGAAAGAATTTTGATTTAAAGTACATAATTTGTAAATAAATTTGAGATAAATATCTATTACCGAAAATAAATTACTCACTTAGTAATAAACCATCCATATCAAAAAGAACATGTGTTACTGGTTTAACATCCATGTTAAATTTACAAGTATACCAAAAATTTTTGAATATAAAATAGTGAGTTGTATAATGTATTGTAACAGAGATTAACAGCTGTTGATTGGGATTTGGAATTTCAGGTCCAAATTTACCGATTCTAGTCTAGATACCTCGAGTTCAAAGTTACTTGGTAATGTAGATTAAAAATTGTAGTTTCTGTAATATTTTTTAATCCTCAATAAAATCAATTTTACCAAAAATACGAAATATAAATAAACTTCTATCAACTCCTCTGACGTCTAGTCTAGATACAATATGCCAATTTTTAATTTTAGGGATGTGAAAAAATAATCGATTATTAAAAAAAACGATTTTAATCGATTTTTTTAAAAGTAAAAATCGATTTTTTTACGCGATTTTATATTTGAAATAATCGATTAATAATCGATGATTTTTATAATTGAAAATCAATCATAGTCGATTTTTCATCTGCCACCTCCCGACATTATGTCTGGTCTTTTATAACCCGGACCTCGAACTATTAGGGATATTCGATATACAACGATGTTTACAATGTGATACATTGAATCCGATTCTTTGAAGATGTATTGATATACTCGTGCATTGGTGTTTTTTTGTAAAACATCGAAAGGATGATAAAACCAGGTTATTTTACAAAAACTCAAGTTTGAATGGAACTATAATATAAAAGTAAAATATATTTATTCAGCAGCACAAGACTACATACATTTAAAAAGACAACAAAAATACTGCAATGTGCTACTGAAAAGGCATACACTCAGCATTTATCAAATTTCACCTAAAATCTATCAAAACGAGAATAAGTTCATTTCAATTTTGATTATTCTTGAAAATTGAAAATCCATGAAAACTAAAACATTTAGGGTGTTTATTTTGAAATTAATTCAAAAATTAGGAAAAAATCGATTAACAAAAAAATCGATTATTTTTTTAAGAAAAATGGATTATTTATTAATCGATTTTTCATGCTAAAAAAATAATCGATTAATAAAAAATCGATTTTTTTATGCAAAATGTCACATGCCTATGCCAAGATTACTAAATTATATTTTTTTTTCGTTTATGGCAAATTATATTTTAGTATTCATCATTAGACGTGCAGTGCTGCCAACTCTCGATTATGAAACTGCATCGAAAATTCCAGAAAAGCACCAAAATTGTTTAGATGTAGACGATGTTTGACGTATTTCACGTTGTATTTCAGATTAGAGATTTTGAGAAGCACCTGACGTCAGTAATTATTCAGTCAAAATTCAGAATTATGATAATCTCAAAGAGTCCCAATAAAACTATTTAAATTTCAGACTCAAAGTGAAAGGTCGTTAGCCATATCGCTTGCGCCAGGTAACAAAGTCGTTAAAGCAAAAGCTAATTTTATCCTATTTGACGATTGAAACACTGTTGTTATGTTAATATATAGCTAAACAGTGTAAATAGTTAAATAATAACTAAATGTACATTGCAGTAATTTATCTAATTAGTCTGAAGATCAAAAGTGTTTCACTGTTTAAACATAATTACCGACTATACAGTAACCGCACGGTACATTTTGACAAATGTCTCAAACGTTCTTTATGTAAATCTTTATGTTTGTTGCTAACTATTTCAGGAATGTAAGATTAGGTAAACGAGTATTACTGAAATTGTGCACAAAATAATTTCCATAGAATCCTCGTGTTTTTCTATATAAAAATGTTTTGCAAAAATTTTGAAATACTCAAGGAAGTCAAAAATGAGATAACATTAACTGTCGTTATATTGCTATCGACTTTGTTCCCCGAGGCAAGTGATATTTTAAATGTATTTTTTTTTTTGAGAAACCAAGAGGAATCTAAATAAAATAAACACATATGTAAGCTGTGAGTAAATTTTCGTTAAAATAAAACCAATCTAAATAGTTTACGTACAAAGCAATATTAAAAAGAAGGGGTTATACAGAAAAGAAAGTAGGAATAAAATTACCACCAATGGTTAATTATATTTTCATTAGGTTTATTTAATTGCATTTCAGACATTTACAATTGTATAACGTTAAAAACATTGACAGTAAATAGTGTTTTATATTATTAACATTAATTAGGTTTTTATAATAAATATTTAATTAGATGGATCTTCTTAACAGCAAAATTATACAATATTATTTATATGTATAATATAACTTATGAAAGTATAGGTTTCTTTTTTGCAAATAAAATTTAGGCCAAATTTTGGATCATTGTTATTAATGTGTATTTTTAAATATAATTTTGGTATTTGATAAGAAACTTATTTTTACAGTTAAATCTAATGATTTAGTTTTTGATACACTATTGATCTTTTTTTCCCCATTTTGTCAATTTGAAAAATTTGTGAAACACACAACTCAAGATGTCAAACTTCAAAGTCAGTAGTTAGAAACGGTACAGTAACAGTTACAGCGTCTAAAACTATTACCTTATTTTTGTATTTAATTGTAGGGATTCCGAACAATTTAGGTAAATACATAAAGTATGTAAGCTTATTCCTATAAAATTGTATGGGAGTGACATTAAGCACATCCTTATTAACGTGGCTACTTTCATAAAAATACAAAAAGCGCCACTAGGCCACCGTCGACATCGCAAATAATTTTTAAGGCTCTAGGAATAACGAACGTAACGAATTTGTTTGATTTAATCTTCTAAATATACTTCTACTTGACTCCTTTAGTTATAAGAATTATTATACTTTCCCTAGAGAGTATTATAATACATTTATATGACTAGATGGGATACATCGGGAGTGTAGGCGGGACTGTAACGTGGTATACGTGGCACTTCGTCCCTTCTTCTAGCTCCTCTATCAACAACGAGACTAATACTCCCAGCTTCCTTCAAACCATTTGATTTGGCACGCCTCTGTGATGGTAATATTGCCGCTCGTAATGTCTTTCGCTTCTGGAAAAAATGAAGGGTTACTTTACGTTCGTGGATTGTGCTGTACAATATATTGTACTTACAAAGCTGTTTCCCAAGCGGCATTACTAAGTAGGAGATGAAGTAAAGAAATAAAAACACTCAAGAGGTTGTTTATTACAAGAAATGTAACATAAATTTGGTATAATAATACTTTAAACCCAAACTTATTATGACAAATTATATGAATTTTTGGCTGGTTTTTTATGAATTTCAACTCCAGAATCATCACGTTATTACCTTACTGATTTATTTTAATTGAAATAAAAAACGTACAGTTACTTAAAATTCATAACATTTACAAACGTATTAGTTTTCATTGCTTTCCTCATTCCATAGACATCTAGAACTAAAACATTGCTGAGCATTATTGTATCAAATCTATAAAAAAGGACTAACAAAAGCGTATCTAAATGATCATGATAAATTATTTACTAATGTATATATTGTATTCTAGTTTTTTCGCCGACATCAGATTCCAATTGGATGACTTTTGCGCGATTTACCTCGACTGCGCCACGCCAGCGATCGGCCGCGTGTCGTGCTATTTCCATTCTCTTCTGTTTCTTTATTTGATGCTTTTTATACACGACTTCTATGACAATGAGTACGATTCCGCCGATTATACCAGCTAGTACCAATATAAATACGCCCGCCATGTTTTTTAAACCCAAAGTGTTTGGCGTTTTTTCGTTTTCCTCGCAATTTAACATGTTGTTTTGTAATATCCACTTGTTGTCGAACGATTCCATTATACCGCCTAAAATAAAGCACATTTCTCGTAAGTGGAAATATGTAAAAAATATTAACATAATTACTTCAGATAATTTCTTCAATTGGATTACTTTCGTACTTGCTAAGTACCTACTACCTAAGGCAATTATATATAATACTAGCGGACCCGACAGACGTTGTCCTGCATGATATTTCAAGCAATTAGGATATTAAACAGAGTAAAATCGCCGACTGCAGCGCCATCTGTCGGGCTGACTTTGAATCTAAACCATCTAGGGCTCCACCCAAACAGGTACAAAAAATTCATTCCAATCGGTCCAGTCGTTTAAGAGGAGTACAGTGACATACATTCGTACAGTAGAATTATATATATAAATATATGATTTATTATTTTTGTGTTATTGGGTCTATCTGATAAATATTTTTATGTCAAGACTTTCTACAGCTGATAAATTCAATATTTTTATCATTTAAGTAGTAGTTGTAGTGTAGTATATACATATTTAAATTTGTTATTCATAGTGAATAGTCAAAAGACCTTACTTTCATGAAAGTCCAATATCGCCAGTGTAACTAAATCGGCCCATGGGGATCCCTTTTGCAGTCCGACCCCATAGCCTGACCTCCCGAACAGTTCCCCAGCGGTCACAAGTTCGCAATCCTGCGCAGCTTCAAATTCTAGACGTGAAGAATCCCAAATGAACGCCATTAACTTCCTGAAAAAAAAATGATAAAGTAAAATGGACGAGAAGATCTGGCAACTATATACAAAATGTTTGTAAGGACCCGCAACCCATTGCTTCACATTTTTAAGCAATTAATTACAATAATAAATAAAAAACAATGGTTTAGCCTCTGTGAGCTTTTACGATTCCAAATTCAAAAAACATCACCTACTATCTAAAGTACTGCATTAAAATACGATTCAAGTCGTCGTTAAATTTTTTTAAATTAAAATAGATGTTTTAATATGTCAGCAGACAGGGTAATGACATTATCACTTTGAGTTTTCTTGATTCTAAACGAACGAACTCGGTGCTTACACATATTTCGTCGACGCGAATACAATAGCTCGAAGAGAAATCTATTCTTTTGATCAAGATAATCAATTATTTCTTCATCCTGTAAAATTGATAAAATACTGATACGCGGTATTGCAAATTGTTCTTACGCGCTATTGTAGTCGCGTCGACGATATGTATATTGTATAATATAGAACCTACCCGTCCTTAACATCTTGAATAGCCAGTTCAGCATTGTCATAGTTATTGGCTTCCATAGTACGATACATATTCGACAATTCCACTTGCCGACGGAAGTACATGTCCACAGCCGAACCTTTCACTGTAGCGCATGTCAAGTTCTCCATTGTATTACGAAGCTAAAAAAAGTGACCAAAATACACGTTGATTTCAATTCAACAACCATTTTTAGATATAACTTCGCTGTCACACGTATGAAAACTGACACGTGTTACGAGTACGACAAATGTGACATAGCTAGTTTTACTTAATAATAAAGTAATATTTAATGTAAGTTATGGAAAAACATATCTAGAGAGAAATCAACGTTCAACTAAAATATTCATGATTACTCAAAATGGTAACTGAAGATCAATCAACTGCTGACACGGCTCACGTGTGTCACAAATCTTAACAGCTGAAGAGTAATTTTCAATAACAGTAGAACCTCTATAATCGAACATCAAGGAGACGCCAAAAATCGAGTATAGAGTTCAACTATGGAGGATTTCGACTAGCGGATTTTGATTCGACATAAAGAGTTTGAGGTTTATTCTTATACATTGAGTTAGAGAGGTAAAATAAATAAAAATTCAACTTGCAGAGGTGACAAACATATTTTTATTTATTATAAATCAACATCATTTCAAATCATTTTAAAATAAAAAATATGGCATTAATAAAAGTCAGTAATTTTTTTTGCTTTAGATAATTTGGTTGTTCTCTTCTATGCATTGTCTCTTAAAGAGCAGAAAATTCTGATGTGTATTGCAGTAGAACAAACTACTTCTGACAGTATTTAAGTCGAAAACAAATGACTGGCTTAGCTAAATTTCAAGGATCAAAATTTAACACCTGACACAAACAAGCAAACACGTGTTTCCATGAGTCATAAATTTATTATTGTATACTCCTAAAATGTTTTCTAAGAAACAATAGTGTACTCACATTGGCGGCAAGTTCTTAAAGTCGGTAACTTATTTTTGTTCGAACAATAGAGATAATAAATTCTAAATGATCAAGTTGTAAAGGTTGTAAAATAAAACGTTCCTATGTTCGAGATACAGAGGTCAAATTTAATTTTTCGAGTTATAGAGTGAAAATATGTACCAAAATGGCTGGAGGGACTCAGTGATTATTTCTGATTAACAGAGGGTCAAGATTTCAAGTAATGGAGGTTTTGGTGTTTTAAGGGAAGGGAACAAAACATTTTTTCGAGATTTGGAGGTTTATGACTTATCGAGGTTCGACTTAACGAGGTTCTACTGTATATTATTTGAACATTGATCAACTGCTGACAATTGGACAATTAACCGGTCTTGTTGCGGGTAGGCGCAAGTTGAATATCAGTCCTCCAAAATAACCAATTAAAAATAGAAATAAGTGAGAATACACAATAAAAAGTAAATATTGAAGCGAACCAGGAGAAGATATACCATAGGCAAACGTATCTGCCTTATTATTAGTGTAAAAAATAGAAAAATATCACGTTTTTAAATTGTGTTGTCTTGACTTCGATTTCGGTGACTTTTCGTTTTGACTAAAACAATTAAAAGTGCGTGTACAAATCAAGTGCGAGTACTTTAACAAGGATCAGTCAATTTTTGTTGATATTACTACAAAAAGAAGAAAAAATATGACTTTTTATCTGTGATGTTAAACGTGTGTACGTCACTCTTTGTAAACGTCACTCAAGAAAGAAATGTTCAAGTAATTCGTCCTCCTCGTCATACAGTACTCGGCTTCGCAGTTAAGCTGTGTTCCGGAATCGAACATTTCAATCGGCCTAAGTTCAAACCTATACACGGGATATTGAAAGAACAATTCTTTTTAATTTTTTAATTTTTGTTTTATAAATTTATATGAAGATATCTTATTTTTTCTAACAGATAGTATATAGAGGGAAAATAATTCTGTAAGGAATTATACCGCCGCCGCCGCTCCCGAGCTCAAGCGAGGAATTATTTTCGGACAGTAACGATAACATATGTTTACTGGCTGACACCGACCGCTGGTGTTGACAACCCTTATCTATTTCCAACTCAATAATGGAAAAGGAGATGGATTTTTTTGGCACAGAATGAAGGAGGAGTGGCTGCGCAAACAAAGCAATAACCGAAGCTGTCACTAGAAACGTGTCAGAGAATATTAACGAAAAATTGTCTGCTCTGTGGAAGAAAAAAAACCTGAAGACTGAAGTAAACTTACAAGACAAAATTAAGTCGATGGAAGAATAAGGAAGGGAAAAAATAATCTTCTTTGGTATAAAAGAGGAACACGCATGAGTCTCCAATCAAGTCATAAAAAAAGTACTTGAAGAAAACATGAATCTTCATCTTAACTCGAATGAAATAAATAAAGCTTATCGACTAGGAGAAAAAAAGGCAACAAACGCGTCCTATCCTTGTAATGTTTACAACAAACTGGAGAAGAAGAAGTACTTAGGAAAAAAAAAATTAGATTCTGATTCTATATTAAGGAGGACCTTACAAGGAAACCTTGGAAAAGAGGAAACAACTTCTGCCTCAACTAAAGGAGGAACGAGCCATGGGAAAAATTTGTTACTTTTTCAAGGATAAAATAGTTGTGAAAAGAACCGAAAGAGGACAAAAGAGATAAAGAAAAAAGACTCCACCTCCCCCAAATCCCCAACTTACACACGTACTGCGGGCCCAAAAAGATTAATAAAATTGCATCTAACTACGTACGTGGTGATCACTGTCACTACCTTCACCCTCAAACGCGCCGACCACGACCCCCCATAGACACACTTAGCCAAAGAAACATTGAAAGCAATCACCCCAAGACGGTTGGTCACCGTGGGGGAAAGCGACCATTACCCTCCAAATACTACTCCCACTCCCCACCTAAACGAATACTTGTGCAACTGAGAAACAATTTTTCCAAACAAATATATATACCACATTCACACATTATCCCTAAAGTCTGAAGAAAGCCTTAAAGAACTTCTATATTCTATCAAAAATATAAGTGGGACATTATAGGCCTGAGCGAAGAAGAAGGATTGGCGAATCAATTCAGGAATACATGAAGTCATATTTTTATAAAGGTGAAATCCAGGAAGACATGGAGTAGGTTTCCTGATCAAGAAAAACTCAAAAACTCTATAGTGGAAATAATCGGCAATCAGAAAGGATCGCTATTTGAATGTTAAATCCCTCAGGCAGAGAAACATGGTCTTAGTGCAAATATTCACCCTGAGCAATCAACGAGTTCAGAGATCGACCTTTTCTACTCATCCCTTAACACCGCCCTAAGAGAACCCAAAAAACTGCTTATAATGGGCATTCAATGCACGTGTTGGAACCCCAAGAAACGGTGAAGATGTCGTACTAGGTCCTCAGTACTGGAAAACACCGAACGGGCAAAAGATGATGGAAATGGCATTTGAAAATAATATGAAAATAATGAATAGTGTATTCAAAAAAAGCTTCCAGAAGATGGACATGGATATACCAATGGTCATACAAAATGATAGCTACTTTTTAACGACAGCCCAATCAATCGACGACTGTGGCACCATCTCTACCCTTAACTTCAACAGTAACCATAGAATGCTTAGAGCGTGTTTAAACGCATCATTTAGTTTGAAGTTATGTCGACCCTTCAAAATTAAAAATCCACAATGTGCAGCACACTATTTGCCAATAAAAGAAAACCTCAAGTCCGTCAGGTATCATCCTCGACACCTAAAAACTCAAAGAAATACAACTAATACACGTGATACTACACAATCGAAAACCACGTCTAAAACCAAATCACAGGACAATGGCCACATATCAGCTAAAGCAAAAACCTCATAGAAAAAAATCAAAATTAATTAAAATGACTTACAAAACAAAATCTATCAGAGAACAAATAGGAAAAACTACAAAGAAATTAAAGCCAAATGAGAAAGACAGAAACGTCTTAGACTGACACTTTTGAAAAAATATCATCAAACGGTGGCATAAAAAAGGCTCTACTCTTATCTGACAATACAAAGTGGATACCTAATATGAAAGACCAATTTTGCAAGACAAGGACTATCAGATCGGATATTTTATCAATACCACAAAATTCTATGAAACCTTTACTCCACAAATTCATACTTACAATTAGACTTAACTACAAGATAATGTTCCTCATATAATAGACAAAATAAAAAACAATTGAATCCCAAAGAAGGATAAAGCTTCCGGCCCTGACGGGATTAATAATGATATGCTTCAATCTGCAAAAAAGATATCACCACTACTAAATCATCTTTAACGATATACGACACTGAACAAATTCCGTTACAGTGGACCAATCCTCATCCTCCTCCACAAAAAAGGTGACAGGAGTGACTGAACAATTATAGGCCGATAAGCAATGTCAAACATCTATAAAGTCTTTGCGAAAGTAATTTTGCGGCGAATAACCAGAAATCTGGACGAAAATCAACCTATAGAGCAGGCTGGTTTCAGGGCGGGATATTCAACATTAGACCATATACTTGGTAAGACAAATATTTGAGAAAACAAAAATTCAATGTGCCGTTCTATTGTTGCTTCATAACTACAACAAGCATTCGACTCAATAAGCACGGAAATATCTGGCACTGCCTCAAAAATCAAGAGTCGACCCAAAGTACATCAGAATATTAAAAAATATATACACGAATAGTACCGCTAGAATTAAACTAGAAAAAGTAGGAAAAGAAATCAAAATAAATAGAGGTGTACTCAAGGAGACCCCTATCACCTAAATTATTCACAGCTGTACTAGAAACATCTTCAGAGAATTAAAATGGGATGGGTACGGACTAAACATAAACGGGGAACACTAACACACCTACGATTCGCCGATACATCATCTATTTGCTACAACAAAGAGCATCTAAATTATGATTACAGACCTGGAGAGGAAAACCGCAAGGTAGGGCTAACAATGAACACCTCAAAAACTAAACCATGACGAATGCATCAGAAGATATTATTATAGTAAATGGAATCAATTGATTATGTGAAAGAGTACACATACCTGGCCAATCTCAACCACTGGTATAATGTCGAAGGAAATTGATACAAAATTGGGAAAGCGTGGAAATGTTACTGGGGGCTAGCGAAATCATGAAAAACACAGAAATAAAAATAATGTCAAATCAAACTTATACACTTGCATACTTCCGGTATTAACATACGGCTCCAAACTGGGCACTCACTAAATCAAACCAGGCAATTGAAGACATGCCAGACGCATGGAAAACATCTAAATATCAAATCCGACGAATCAATATAAAATCATACGAAACCACACGAAGATTGAAGACGTCACAACGAGGATACGAAGATTGAAATGGAAATGGGCTGGTCACGTAATAAGAGGTATAGAAAAGTGGAAAAAATCATATATTGGTACCCAAGAAATAATAAAAGAAAAGAGGTAGACAGTTTCGAAGATGGGAAGACGAATAAAATCCGTAACTGGGAAAATTTGGACCAGGAAAGCTCAGAACAGAGCAGAGTGGAGAGAAATGGAGGAGGCCTTTGCCAAAGTTGGGCAAACAGATGGGTTGTCGGTGTCACCGACTCACTAGTGTTAAGCTTAAGTTTAAAATTATGTTATTATTTTCTATCTGATTAAAGGCTTTAATATATATTATTTGAACATTGATCAACTGCTGACACGTGGCTGTTCTAAATGTTAATAGCCAAAGGTACGCACCAACAGCTCACTAGAATATTATTATGTATGTGTCAATAGGTGTAATTTAAGATAATGTCTTTGAACAATAAATCAGATTTGAATATTTCTCGCTCTTATTAATTTCTCGCTTCCTCTTAAAGTAGCGAAGACTACTTTAAGCCCTTAATTATCGTGGTAAGCCTGCCGGATAGCTTTAAGATAATCCCACCAGCTTGAACCTTTCATCCTTCTCTTAGGATGTTGCCTTAGGTCGCTTGGTGCAGACATCCCATACTTATTTATATATTCATTATTTATGGGTAAGTCTGGATCCGTAGGGTTGTTAGTTTCTTACATCTCACCTTCTCATATATTTTGTTATCTAGTGCAGCTTCCTCAAATATACACTACATTAGGAGTATCTGTATAGTATTATACACACACACACATTTCACAGTCCACTGGCTGGCAAGCTGATAGTAACCATTTTTTAACAAGGTAAATATCAATTTAACACAAAGATACTTACCCTTGCGTCATTAATGCCACTTAACTTAGTTTTGGGCCTTTCAAGCACGAGGAAAGCAGCCAAATTAGCTGTGTATGATGCGACTATGATCATCGCAAAACCGGCCCATACCATACCTAACACGCGGGCGGAGAAACTGCGGGGAGTTCCTGTAAAAATGTAGAGCCAAGTAATAAATCTAGAATATTGTGTATAGTTAGCGCAATGAAAAATCATCTAGGTAGAGACGTGAGATATTGTCGCTGACGACTGCTGCAGTAAATATATATTATTTAGTGATTCAGTAGTAGTTAAGGAAAGTAGTTTTATTTTACAGTTTAGGCTTTTATAGGCATTAAAGCCTTTGTGCTTTTTGTGGTAAAACAAAAGATAATCAAAAATGGTTGTTCTATTTCTATTTTTAGGCAACAGCTGTGTCTTAAAACCGATACCTTAAACTTATTGAGATATACATAAATCTGAGGCCAAGACAGTAGGTATGTCCATTTTATACCTATATTATGATTAGATTGAATACCTACAAATTCATAAAACTGCTCATTTCGACTGTATGAACTAATTACCTTCTCCAATTCCACTGTTGAGTAAAACTCCCCACGCAAACCAAATCGCACTGGATAAGTTCAATGCATCCTCCTCAGTACCATCAATATTAGCCAATTTAAACCGACCGAATGGTGAGAATCTATCCAACAAGTAAAGTACTAAGGCCACAACGTGAACCGATACCATCACCAAAATCCATAATGTATTTGAAAATGGTTGCAAGAATGACACAAGCGTCGATGATCTTGATGGCTGAAAAGGATGATCGATGGCTCAAAATTTGTACTCTCAACAAAAGACATACATTAATAGGTACATATAAAAAATACAATAAAACGATCACTTATATAATATTTTTAATAAACAAGTAGGTACACTACTACTTACTGTTACAAAATTATATTCAATATTATAACGAAATTTTACCTTTTTTTCCAAAATAGTAATGCCTTGATATTTGAATGGTTTGCTAAACTCAATGAATTCAGCACGTTCGGGATTTATTGTCAACGGCGCAACGATCATATCAGCGCGTTCATAGACTAATTCGCCTGAAGAAGAAATAAAACTTGAATATATTATTGGTATAGGTATTAAACTTTTATATATTAAGACGGAGTAAAATTTAAAAAAAAAGTGTATTTTTGTAGGTGGGGGAAACGACTTAGGTCAAGTAATTTGCGAGAATTCAACCAAGCATAATTTACCAATGAGTCCAGTCCATTCCTTCTTCGATCCTGGTTGAGAGATATTCTTAAAAGCATAAGACCCGAACTGACCATCAGGGGATAATGCTAACGAGAATGTAAAGTTTATGGCTCGTGACAAATACGTTAGAAGGTCCATACAGAACCCCTTGCAGCAGTACAATTGATCTGGAAATAGTATAATAAGTATAAACAAGTAGCTCTCTCTGAGTTTGACAAAGTTCTATATGTTCTGTGTAGGATTATTGTATGAAGCCAAAAAGCCACAAAACGACACAATAAAGTTTAATAATTTGTATAGATGTAGAATCAACTAAATAAACGATGCTATCAAACAATAATAAATATAATCTAGCGACACAATAGTTCAATATAATATAATTGAAATGAAAAGACTTACCAGCTTCCTCGCTAATATTGAAATGTGGACAAGGGATTTCTTCACTAGTACAATCGAGAATATCATCAACTCGACGGGCGTATACAAAAGGTTTCTCTTCTATAGTTACTACCTTCAAATAGATAATAAGCATAAGGTAATTTAGAAAAATAAATAGACTTCATATACATGTAAATATATATACACGTCTTCCAGACATTTCAGTTCCCTAAGTTGGAATATACATAGTTAATACAAAATCTTCTCCTTATGATTCCTAGTTTCCGAACGAAACTAAAATCATCATACTTATAAAACTTATAACCTCATTTTTAATAAAATTGTTAAGTCTATATAGAGAAATGAAAGATTTGAACATGAAACAATGGAAATCATGTTAGCGAAAGCAGTATTTAAAGAACAGCCTTGCGATTCTGTAACTCACTTTTCGAACTCACACAGCGGTTTTCGCATCGGCGGTCGCTCTCAAATCAGTCGTGAAGCAGTCATTTTATGATTTGGCATTCTGATAAACTTATTGTTTATCAGAATGCCTAAAGCTCCCATTTTTCAGAATGCCAAATCATAAAATGACTGCTTCACGACTATTTGAGAGCGACGCCGTTCGAAAGCTGTGTGAGTTCGAAAAGTGAGTTACAGAATCGCAGGGCAGTTGTTTAAGTTTCAATTAAGTTTCATTGATCACAATCTGGTCGTAAAGGAAGTTAACGTGGTAGTAACCTTCAAATGTGTCGGAATCATAAATCCTTCAGGCTTAGAAGAGCTGCGTCCCATCCATATGATTTCGTGTTCCTTCAGTTCGAGGCGCATTTTTTGAGTTTCCTGTAAACAATCAAAGTTTGAGCGCTTGTTATTCAAAATGTGCAATTTATGTGTAAACTTCTGCAAAAGCACGTCATTATCGACAAATTCAAAAGCATTTTTTATGTCGAAATAGGCAGCATCTACCCGTTTTCCACAGTACACTACTGGGCCAATATTCGCCATATAAATTGAGTTGAGCTTCTGAGAGTTACGAACTCACTTGATTAAGTGTGCATTTTTGAAATGCCACTTTGCTATCGCGGCATAGGCCGATAGCTTATATTAGTTATTTAACTATCTGCCTATGCTGTTCCACTTTATCACGGCACTCTGGGAACTGGAATTACCCGACTGTTCTTCCAACATGTGGGAAATGTTGCTGTTTTGAAACACGTACTATATATGTGTAACTGTGGTTCAATATGTACAATACATATATTATAGAATTGGAAACCTTTTTTAAACGCCAAATAATCTTTATTGTTTTATTTATTTATTTACACTTCGTTGCATTACAATATAAAAATTCAACATAATTAAATGTAAAGGAGGGCAACTGACGGCCTTATCGCTTTCGAGCGATCACTTCCAGGCAACCACTGTGAGAAAAAAAAATGTATTCAATTAGATAAGGTAGTAAGGTAGGCAAGAAGTGCAAAACTACATATTACATTTAGTTATTAAGAAAAAAACTAAACTAATAAAGAAAAATATAAAAATATAATACATGAAAAATAAAAAGTAAAAAGTAGTAGTAGTAGTATTTTATTATTTGTCTGTCTTTTTAATTATTCATCTTAAATTAAAAAGACAGACAAATTCAAATTTACCTTAGAATAAAAATATTTTCCAACTGCCACATGCTCGCCTTCCGCTCTTATATTGACCATGTCGTACTCCGCATGGACTCTATCGCCATGGTCATCAAAGGCCACATGCCCAGTAGCACCATTCTCTAACCTTTGCCTCCTTATATAATCAAAAAGAACCTGTCCAGTCTGCCATATCGAGCCAGAATTGTCACAATCCGATGGTGGAGCGTTTATCTCTTCAGTTTTGTTCATTTCGCGTATTGCTGATGCTAGGACATATCTGGAATTGAAATCAAAACAATTTACAAACCAATTTTTCCGAAATTTTTTAAAAAAACCCCCAGATTTTTTTTTCCAGTGTATGGTTCAGATTCAGAAATAAAACAACTTCATAAACAGTACATATTTATCGAGCGTAACAAAAAGTCCGGAACCTATCTGGGAGTGTACATTGGGGACTGTTGTCACTTGAAAACAGGCATAAGTATCGTTAATTTAAATTTTAGAAACTTACATAGAATCCTGTATATGAGCGTGTTCATTTGTGGCGTTTACCAGCCTTAATCCCAGAAGTCCCTCAGGAGCATTAGCGGCATCTAATGCTTGTTCGGTGACCATCCAGACGTAGCCAGATGTAGTCATGTTCATGTACGTTGCATCACGGAAGATTATCTCGGCATCTGTTTTACTGTAAGATGTAGGTATTATAAATCGGAAAAGAACTTTGTTACTACTTCACCTCAAATAATGAACCAATTGATATTATTTTGCCACCTATGTTGAAAATCCTGCCATTGAAAGGAGCAGTGTTGGCCTAGTGGCTTCAGCGTGCGACTCTCATACCTGAGGTCGTAGGTCCGATCCCCGGCTGTGCACCAATGGCCTTTCTTTCTATGTGCGCATTTAACATTTGCTCGAACGGTGAAAAAACATCGTGAGGAAACCAACATATATTAGATCCAAAAAGTCGACGGCGTGTGACCGGCACAGAAGGCTGATCACCTACTTGCCTATTAGATTTAAAAATGATCATGAAACAGATTCAGAAATCTGAGGCCCAGACCTAAAGAGATTGTAGCGCCACTGATATTTATTTTATGTTGAGAATCCTACATAGTTCTGAACTGATGCATTAGCTCTGACACCTTTGTGAAAGGCCAGTGTTACGAATTCTTTTAGGCAAATTAAATCAATGTTCTCAAAATAAATACACATTAGGCTAGTGTAAGCAACATTACGAATAGATGATATTTTTAACTGTTTAGCATTAATTGGGTTGACAGGTAAAACTATATTTTACTACTCTGATGTGGATAGTTTACATACCTTGCATACATAAGAAATACTCTAGCTTGTGCACTTCTGACATCAATAAGTTTCTCGTTAAACGAGTCTAATCCTGGTTCAAATTCAATCACCTGTTCAACGACAACTTTTCTGTCAACATCTTCGTCTACACTTTGTGATGTTGTTTGAAATCTGTATTCAGAAATTAAATGTTACCATTGAAAGAAAATACTATTATAGAAACGATTTCTCTTTTAAACGATTGCTTTAGCTTTACGTATTTTAATTTCCAGTTCAATTAAATATTCAATTTCAGTCATTTCGTTGAAACAACAAGAGGAGTCTTAAAACCACTTACCGTCCCAAGATGGCTCTACCATCCGTATCGGAGCTGTGTATAACAATAACTTTCATGTAATTGAAATGTTTAAGAACATCCACCCACACGTCAGCCTGATGGGAGTACGGCGGTACGGTACGTAGAAATGATACATGAATATTTTTGTCGGAAAATGCCGAGTCCCTTGAAGAAATCCCAATAACCGGTATATGGTAGAAACCGCTGGTGTAAGATACTGCAGCGGGTGAGAGGTCGCCTGTTATTGGATGGGATACTATTACTGCGTAAACCTGTAAAAAAATGATTTCTTTACTATAGGACACGAAAACACTTATATTTCGGGACTTCATACTATCAAAATCAAAGTGCAAAGAGATTGAAACATGCCAAAGTAAATAAAACAAACCAAGGCAGTGGCATATTTGTATACTTTGCGGAAAGAAGGAATAAATCCATGATTTCTTCAATCTTACCCGATGAGCTATGAGATCCTTACAGACATTAAGCGCTGTCATAATTGGATTAGGGTCCATCAAGATTGAGTAATCATGGTAGGTCACACCGCGAGGCACATACTTATCCTTGAAGTTTAGATTCTGAAATACAAATACATTATGTGTGTACAGCCTTTACCGACTGGTTACTATAGTTGACTGGCGTTTTCTGACATTTAATATTTTTTTTAGAACAGGGGGCAAACGGGCAAGAGGCTAGCCCGATGTTAAGTGCCGATGGACGCACACTCACACTGCTAGAAGGCTCGCAACTGCGTTGCTGGCAGAGAATTGGTACGCTTTTATCTTGAAAGACCCTAAGTCTAATTGGTTTGGAAATACGTCAGTAGGCGCCTGGTTCCACATAGTATTGGTGCGCGGCAAGTGCCTTAAAACGCTCAGTGCTCACCATAAAGTAACTTAAGTAAAATAATCTTCAAATATAAGATTTGGCCTTTGTTAACGATTGAATGGTTATTTAACAATTACCAAGAGATTTACTTACAGATATTGTATCTTTGAAGAATGCAACCGACTCGTTACTTGATAGCACCCCACCAACATTGTAATAAGTAGGATTTGAGTTCCGGCGTCTATCGATATCAGCAATCGCTGAATTCCAGCAGAGCACTGCCAGCGTCAGTTGAAGCCACATGTTAACTGAAATGATATGATTTTTCACCGTGACCACGCACGCTGTAAAGCACGCGAAACGTCGGATAAATTTAAAATTATGTTAAATAGTTGTAAATTTATAATAATACATAACTTCAATCCGGTCAAAATAGTGTTTTATTAAATGATATGATTTTGTTTTTTATTTCTTCTGAAGTTAAGTGGAAAGCTGTAAAGTTTTATAGCCTGTATCTATTATTAATGTATGTTTTTTAAATTTTATTCTATATATTTCTTAAAAAATATTGTCGTATATATTGTTTTCACTCATTGTTTGATTGCAATTAACGAAATTATGTACTCACGCTTCTTTTAACTTTGCACACTCATACTATTGCAAACATTTAAATAAGGTTTTACGTAATAGAAATAAGGTGGGATTCTGCGACCCGACGGCGCATGGAGCACTATCTCAGGTTGCTATGGAAACCACGCAGGCGTCCTGGTGCAAATCGATCCTATTCTTAATACGGAAACTTTAAAAAATACTCGTAAATTTGAATAACAAAAAAATATATTTTTAAAAAACTTTATTGATTACATAATTAATATTTTGAGAAGGTTTACACAAAACAAAGAAACATAATTATAAACGATTCAGAAATAGTTTTAAGACCATGCCCATGGCCTGGAGGTTGGGGACCATGTAGACCAGGCAGGGTTCCAGGGACGAAGCGCTGCAGCGGCGGCAGAAGCAGCATGCTGAGCAGCACCCGCCGCTCCAGCTGCTCCAGAACTTTGCAGCACCGATAACTTCAGGGCTTCCAGATCTTGTGGATAACGCATTTATTAAATTATTTTTCGATCATAAGTCTAAATTGTTTCAAGATTTAAAGGCATTGTTATGTCTTACCGGGATTAGCTTTTTACCACTTTAGTTACTAAACTAGCAACCATACAATTGCACAAAATTAACAGCCGTACTTAAAGAATCTTGATGTTCAGCCACGACATTCAGTGTCTGATTAGTTAATGACCATTTTAGAAACACATCAAGAGACCTTTCTGAACTTTCAATTGGAACTATGGGGACTTGTGTAAAATTTACTTCATGGCTTAAGTAATCGTTAACTCTTAACTCTGTACGGCTGTAAGTGTGAAAGAAAACTTGGAGTCGGGTTTCAAAATTTTATAGATATTTGTAAAGCTATAGACATACATATATATAAATTTGATAGTTTGAAAAGTAAAGTAACATACCAGCACTCTGCAGTCTCGCAGCTTGCTTGTTAGCAGCCTGTTGTATTGCTCTAGCCGCAGCAGCTTCGTGAGCTGCGGCGATTTTCTGCGCTGTGGCCGCACGTGCTTTAGCAGAAGCGAGCTGCGCTTGAGAATGCACAGCTGATTGAGCTGCTTCGAGGGCGTGCGCGCGGGCAATACGCGCAGCCTCTTCACTGTAGGAACGTGTTTATTAAGAGTTGGATTGTTAATGCCGTTGTATGAGCCAACTATAATTAAAAAATAATTATAGTTGGCTCTTTTACAAATATTTAGATATATTATATTATTAATTTCTAACGAAAGATATCATTACTTTCACAATACTACGATAACGACCCATACGTTAGGAAAATATTAACCTTTTATGAGCCGCGTGAGCAGCTTCAGCCTCTTTAGCACTGGCATAGCTCTGCTGCTCTAGAGCAGCGTGTTTAGCAGCTGCGACCTGTCGCTGGGCAGCCATTACTGCTGCCGCTGCGGCTTTTGCTGCTGCTATTGCACCAGCTACATCCGAGCTCGAGTCTCAAAAGTAAAAAAATAATATTTAATTTAATTATTGTAAGTGTAAAGTTAACAATTAAATGTTGAGTGCATAGTGATTACAGGCTGTTTATAATTGTTTAGTTTACTACTCGTATAATAATATAATATTATTTTTGTGTGACGGACTCAGCTTATTTACGAGTAGGTAGGTAAGTGCCAAACATGATCCAGAATAAATTTAATCTTTTTAAATTAGTTTTTATTATATAGCCCTAAAACCACAGAAATAATAACAAGACTTGACGATCATACCACTGGAAGTATGTCCAATCCCATTTGTCTGAGCAACTTGGATTAAACTTCCCACAGGAAACAAACCGGCGACATCCCATCCTGAAGCACTTCTCTTTTCCGCTTGCTTGCCTAGCGTTATAGCGACGCAGACACATACAAACAAATACTGAAACATAACACATTTATGTACCAGAAAGGACACAATATTAGTAATTTATATGTTACTAGTGGACCCCACAGACGTTGTCCTGCATGATATTTAAAGCGATTAGGATATTAAGCAAAGTATGAAAGTACCGACTGCAGTGCCATCTGCCGGGCTGATTTGTGAATCTAAACCATTCCCAGATCCCCTTGAACACACACAAAAAATTTCATCAAAATCGGTCCAGTCGTTTGAGAGGAGTTCAGTCACATACACACGCACAGAAGAAATATATATATTAAGATTAGGGCTTTGGAAAACTTCGGTTTACATTCTCTATGGCTCTATGGTACGGTTTACTTTCTGGGAATGGTACGGTCTCTTCTTTAAGGCCTTAGGGTATCGGTTCGGCTTACAATTAATTAAATCGCTTTGTTTTGATTTTTTTATATTAAAATACACAAGTTAGGATAGCATCCTTCTATTAATTCTCTATCAGTATTCTAAAATTTGTTCCACGACTGAGCCATGACAATTTGACTTACAACGAGTACAAATAAGAACCTTCTCTCAATATTTTTAAGGAAAAGTGATACAATCATTCCGCAACAATTAATACTTAAATTTATTATTAGGAAAAATAATTCTTACCAATTTTACAAAACTCATGTTTTCTTGAAAGTAGCAGTGGTTTACTCGACTTGAAATGGAACTATGATATTGTTTTAGTTTACAGAAACATTTTATAGTATTGAATACGGAAGAGTTTTCAACAAAGGAGAGGGATGATGACCGAAAATTACTTTAATTGCAACCTATCATAGATTGAGCGGCAATTTAAACTATCCCTTTCAAAACAATTTGAGCGTTCTCTTTTCTAAGTGTTATTCGGTGGTAAGTATGTACAGGAAATGAATCCTTTGATAGTCTTGTCAGCATTGATAAAAATTATGTGGATTAGAAAATTGAAATGAAAATAAAACCATATTTACTGTCTTTGGTTTACTGAAGTATATTGTAATAACCGAAATATTAAGAAAAGGTCTGTATTAATTTTCTTTTTGCTAAAACTATGTTTTTTAACTCATAAGTGGATTTAACTTTATAAATTAGGGAAATTAATACTAAAATTAAATTAAGAATTTATTATCATACAAAAAAAAGTTTGCATTAATACCTACGACAAATCATATTATTTTACCACCACATCAAAATTAAAACGCATCAAAATTGTTTAACCATGCCATCTAGTGAAAAAATTAAATAAGATAAAGACGACACCTAAGTACTATAATAATAAAATATTGATTCACGCCATCTAGTGAAATAATTACACAACGCCAAGACATGGTTCTTATGCAATATACGTACATATATATGCATGCGTGAAATTTTGTACAAATTAAACTAGATGGCGACAATGGTTCAACCAATGCTTTAACTGTAATTTCGACATTCTTCCATTTCAAAGGATTGACTCCTGTGTTAAATTTTAGTATTTTACGACGATTCTATAATATTAAATTATTGATGGTTGACTACGCTCGTGTAAAGATTAATAAAAATTGATTTTATTGAACATTAACGATGCCAAAGTATTCTACCCTCGATAAGCAATGTCAACCAAGTTTACTGATTCGTACATTGTATATCGCAATTCATTATGTTCCTGACACAATTCGTATGCTACCTAGCAAACCGAGCGATGAATTAGTTAGGTGAAAAATATGTCGTTACAATACGAGATTTGATGCAATTTTGTAATGGAACTTGTTAATTCTTTATGCACATAGACTTGAAGGTTCCAACTGTGTTATCTTTTTTACGTTAAAGTAATAATAAAAGAATTAAAGCCTAGAGAAGAAAATCAAAACATTTAAAAAGTTTGGCCTGTGGCACGCTGTACCTTTAACTGCTGGCAATAACCTGCTATTTTGATATTATGTCCGACCAGTAAAGTGCAAGCTCTGTAGGGTAACACGTGTAACTATCTACACGTAGGGGCCAACTTAAATGCTAAATAATGCGCATGATAATCTAACTTTATTTAAAAACCTATTCGTCCCCAAGGCCTCTAATGGCCAAAGGGAACAAAATTGAAGTTGAGAGGACCGACTCTTAGAAACCTGTGACGTATGAATTAAAACTCGCCTTACTGGCCGCGAAAGCTTTAGCTAGGCGGAAGCAAATGGAAGACGGGGCAAAGGTATCTTATCAGTGTAGCACCAATACTAAAGATAATAACATTTTTAAGGGACTCATTATAGACAGTCCATGGTCCGCTTGCCATGTCTTTTTTATCCTGTTGGCTCAAAAATAACTAAAATAAAAATAAAAATAGCGCTATAATTCGGTAAGTTATATCTTGATTTTTTTGAAAGTCCATGGCCTTTAAAGGTATTACTCTGTGCTACTTTACGTCCGACGGAGTGCCGAAGGTTTCTCTTTTTTGATTCTTGACTAGCTCCGGATTTAATCAGCAATAATTTAATCGCAGCATGTTACCGCCTATCCTTCTATCATCGATAAATGGAAGTGTTTACGGTGGGCAAAATCTTTCTTTTGACGCACAAACGTTCCTTCAAGTAATGGGTCCGCTCAACCAAACAAACCGAGCGATGAATATGTTAGGTGAAAAAATGTCGTACGGGCCATTTGAGGTTAGCAATTTTTGTAAAAGTTACAACATGTTAATTATTTTAAAGCACTTCTGAACTTTACCCTATGTACGTTTTTTATTTTGTCTTTTATCCTAGGGTTTATCAATAGTTAAAAAATAGTCGCTAGTGTACCGATAGTCTCGAAGTTTTGCTTTAGGGAAAATTTGTATAACCTAA